CCCTCCCTCCCTCCCTCCCTCCCTCCCTCCCCTCCCTCCCCTCCCTCCCTCCTTCACTGCATTATCTTCTCTCGTTACTTCGATTCTCAACTCACCAGCGAGCTAGTGGGAAGAACTTGCAGGAGCGCAACGAGCAGACATGCTGAAGAGGGCCCAGGAGGAGGGACAAGAAAATCTTGTTTGCAGGAGTGAAGTCTTCCTGTAGCAGCAGGCAGCCATGGAGGACAGCAGAGCAGATGACGGAGGAAGAGGGGAGAGAGGAGAGAGAGAGGAGATGAGGACAAGGAGGAAAGAGGAGCAGAGGACGAAAAGTTGGGTTGAGACAGAGTCAGGAGAGGAGAATTGTCGTCAAGGTTGTTGATAGGACTTATTCATGTTTCTCACAAAGAGCTTCTCGTACATGAATCGCTCAAACATCCTTCCAACTTCACCAGGGGAAGCAAACTCTTTCTCGCAGAACCTGCACAGGCTCATCAAAACACGCAGACTGACTGAGAACAACAGCAGAGGAATAGAAGCGGAAGGGAAGAAAGGAGGAAAGAAGGAAGGAGGGAAAGAAACGTGGAAGGGAAGAAGGAAGCGAGTGAGGGAAAGAAAGGAGGATGGGAGGGAAGGAGGGAGGGAGGGAGGGATGGAGGGAGGGAGGAAGGGGGGGAGGGAGGGAGGGAGGGAGGGAGGGAGGGAGGGAGGGAGAGGTAGCATTATCTCAAGCAGACTTACTTGTATCCCCCTGTCTTGCCACTCTTTTCGTTTCACGAAGATCTCGCGGTAGCATTCAGCAGCTGCAGGACAGCTCAGAGACGAGCAGCAAAGAGAAACGAAGAAGAGAAGAAAGTGAAGAAAGCGAGATGGGAGGAGGTTTGCAGGGTGGGGAGGGACGAGGAGGAGCAGGAGGAGCAGGAGCAGGAGCAGGAGCAGGAGCAGGAGCAGGAGCAGGAGCAGGAGGAGCAGGAGGATCACGTACATGCCACAAGCTTTCCGCCACACCAGGCAAGATGGAGGCTCGACCTTGACTTGGGGTTGACGAGAACAGTTGCCTACAGGAGGAGAGGAAGTTGTGAGATAAGGAGGGCGAGGGGAGAGCCGAAGGAAAGAGGAGCAGAGAGATCAAGTAGCTGTGATCAACATCGAACATGCCGAGAGGAAGACGAACAGGAGGGTGAGGTCGGGGAAGGATGAAGAGAACGGAGAGAGCGGGAGAGAAGAGTAGGAAGAAGGGAGCGGGAGAGAAGGAGGTACCTGATTCACAAACGCTGGTTTGATCTTGCTGAGTCGTTGCTCGATCGCTTCAGCGAGACCCTTGATACCTGAAGGTTCCCATCACCATCCTCCTCTTCCTCCGCTCAATTCAGCAGTTCTCCCTTCCCGCTCCCTCTTGCCCTCCGTCCTATCATCGTACCACTTTCTCCTCTCCCCTTCCCCCCCCCTCTCTCCTTCCTTTCCTCCCTTCTTTCTTTGCTCCTCCCTCCTGGTCTCCCTCTACCCTTCCTCTCCCCCTTCTCTCCCTCTCGCTCTCTCACCTGAGCATCCTCCCGCCAGGATGATGTTACCGTAGAGCTTCTGCGTGAACTCTGCCAACTTCGTCTCCTACCAGCGAGTGAGCGAGTGTATGGATCAATCCCACATGCCTTCGCTTCTCCGTCCTTATTCTCCTTCCCCTGCTGTTTCACGTGAGGACAACAGAAAAGCTTTCCTCCTCCACCACCCTCCTCCTCTCCTATCACATACACGAACAAACACAAGAACACACAAGAACGCACACACGCATCCTGCGTCATCCTCCTGCCTCCACCACATCCCCTCCTCTCTTCTCACCTTGCTCATCTCATGCATCTGCATCACTCGAGCGATCGCATCTCGAATCACGTCCGAGAGGCAGAGCGGAGAGCCCGAGGGTAGGAAGAGATACTCGTCGCGCAGCAGCAGCCTGCATCTTTGCCGTCACCAGGAGAGAGCAAGGCCCAAGGAACGAGGGGAAGGAGGAGAGGGAGAGGAGGGTATGGCAGTGGCTGGAAGAAAACGATTCGGCGGAGATGGAGAGACAAAGAGAGCGGGAGGGGGGGGGGTGAGTAGAGGAGACCAGCGGAGAGGAGAGAGGAGAGGAGACAAGCGGAGAGGAGAGGAGAGGAGAGGTGAGGTGAGGTGAGGAGAGGAGAGGAGAGGAGAGGAGAGGAGAGGTGAGGTGAGAAGAGGAGAGGGGAGAAGGGACGTGCCCCCCACCTATCCTCCTTGTCTCCTTGCCCTCCTGAGCGATTCTGAAGCATGTCAAGCACGAAGTCGTCATCCACAATCTCCTCGGCATCTATTTAACTCCGATCAGAGCAATTACCAAGAGAAAAAACATCTGTCAGCGGGACAGCAGCGAGGTTTCAGATTGTTGGTCGTCAAGATGTTCGACAAGATTCGCCCGTACACCACCACACATGATTGTACGAGCCAAGTCAGCTTCACTACCTGCCCATCTCTTCCTCTTTGCCAACTTCCAATCCAGGGGCTCAAACAGCTGCCAAGGGCATCAGGACAGACCACGAGCAGAGAAAGAACGCATGAAACCTTGGGGTGGAAGAGACCCATGGGAGGAAGGCATGCAGGAGACAAGATACGAAGTCTGACAGGACAAGCTCAGTCTCTCAAAGCTCGCAAAGATGTTCCAGTCACCTGTGGAGAGTCGAAGGCTGGTTGGGCAGGGCGAGACGCATCTCATCGTTCTTCCAGAAGATATCCTGAGACAAGTCAGACAGACTGCAAGGGGAGACAACATGCAAGGCTTGCAGTCGCAAGTGTGTGATTGATAAGGGAGCTAAAGCATCTCCTCACCTGCTGAGCGCCGAGGATGTAACACGTCCTCTCCTTGAACATCCGCAGCTCTTCACAGTGGTACGGCTGGACTTCCTCTCACTATCGCCCACATGCACACATCTCCTCCTGACCTCGTTCGCGTCGAACTTTGACAGGATGCTCTTCTTGCCTTCCGACGACGGCGGCTTATCTGAAGCAGGGGAGGACTCTTTGAGCAAAGCAAGCAGCATCCTCTCCATGTCCAGACCCCCGTACCCGAGATGAAAACCTACACCATCCTCAGCCCTAGCGCCTCTCCCACCGTCCTTCGTCCTCTCACTTGCACAGGGCACGCAACTGCCATCCTCCACCACCGTCACTGACGTCTTTCCTGCCCCAATGTCGACAACGCACGAGGTGTGCGAGTGAGCCTGGTAGCTAGAGCATGACGCGTCTTGTACCACCGCGAGGCTACCAAACTGCATTCTTGTCAAGAGGACATCCGCCATAATCTTGATGTCCATCTTGCAGATGTTTGCAGGGACAATCAGCACGCAAGCCATGTTCGCGAGCTCCTGCAATGGTATGCTGAGTACATCCCGGATGGCATGCTCCCAGATCGCCTGCCGTTCCAAGTGAGCACGAGGTCAGATGAGGAGGAGCAGGACACCTGGAGATCGCAGGCCGCCACCTCCAAGGAAGGCTTGGCGAACAGCCTGAGGAGCAAACAAGCATCAGAGCAAGGCAGAGTCACATCGTCCTTTCACCTTCCTCTCCTGAAGGGACGATGCAGCGAGTACCTCGTCCCGTCCGACCTCCTCTGGCAAGTGACTCGGAGAGCAGAAGAGCCGCAGTAGAACGCTGCCGACCCCAAGGAGGCCCCCAGGATCTCTGGCTCCTCCCCAGGGGCTGAAATTATCTCCTCATCGACTTTATCCCCCTCCCCTGTTCGTCAACGCTCAGCTTCACCTCAAACAGCAGGCAATCCTTCCAGTCAGACCTGTCGGCGTCTTCCTCGTCGGGCCACTCCATCTCTTCAGACTCCGCTCCACCTCCAGCATCTCCCTCTGCTTCTCCTGCAGCCAGTTCTTGTCGGAGGATGCTGGTGGAAGCGAGAAGTCCGCTGGATCCTCTGCATCCTCAACGAGCAGACGGGCGATGCAGTGAGGAACGACAGTCGGTGACTCATCCGTTGCCCGTCCTACCCTCAAGTTCTCCGTGCCAGGCTGAAGGACTATCGTGTTCGAGATGCGCTTCTTTGCTTCAGCGGGGCTCTCTTTCACCTGGTTCTCACCAGAGTCGTCCTTCTTGGAACCTTTCTTCTTCTTCACAGTCTCCTGCTCTGGCTTCTCCTGGTTTGCAGATTCCTCGTCCACTATCCCCTCATCCTGCACTGTCGTCGACTCCTCAGCCTCCTCGTCCAGCTCATCGTCTTCCTGCTGCAGGCAACGCACGTTACTCAGTCACCGCACATCAGAACGGATGATAATAAGGAAAGATCAGAGTGAGATAGCCAGGGAGAGCAAATGGTATGATGAGCAAGCAAAGCAAACGGGCGAAATAGTTAACACGATCAAGAGAGCTCTTGACTTCAGCAGCAAAATCCCAACACTGAGTGATCCTTGCAAGTTGTAGACAGTTCTCCATCAACATTCACTTTGACACATCACATCAACGTCAACTCAACATCACATCAACGTCATGCGAACATGATATGAATGTTCATCTCTTCGTTTACTCAATGTCTCCAGCCATTCTCTTCGCTCACCTCCTCCTCTTCCATGCTCGCTGTCTGCAGAGGCTCCGCCATTCCTTATTGCAACGACCGCAACCGATGCAACGAGTTCGTTACATTGGAGCCCCGGGCGAGCGGCCGGGCCCGAATGGTGAGCCCCGGACTTCGGGCCCGGTCATTAAAAGATGAAACGAGCTCTTTTCGGATCCTGAAGCAGCAGGTCACACGGGTAAGCGTGTAAAAGTATTCTTAAAATAGTGACAAAACTCTCGGAAGGTCACGAGGTGAGGTCCTACCTTGCAACCATGACCCGAAAGAAGGGTATTTGGAGTTTTTAAAATTTATATAGTGCTCCTGTTGCTGGGTCGTCGGGGGAGAGGCAGTACCATATTATATACATTTTTAAAAATTGTACCATGCAAAATTCTTTATTGGAATATTTACTATGCACTTGTAGACGCTTGAAGCGACCGAAAGCGTGATGAATGAATATCAACGAGGGTCTCCAGATACAAAATTCAAATCAAAACGAAAGTTTAACTTTGCATTTGTCTAGAGTCTAAATTTGAACATTTATCATTATTACAATAAATGTACAACTGAGATACCCCTGCTGATAATTCGAATCAGCTCATTCGCCTTATGCGTGCCTGTCCTCTACCCCACCCCGTTCCAGTCAGCCATTTTCTCTGTACCCTTGCTCAGTGTACCCCTACCCGTTATTTTCCAGTATAGTACCCCTTCTAGGCAAGGGTACTCTTGCAGAAAAATGATTCCCACCCGCTGGTGAAAAATACGTGTGATCATCAATGCATACCCTACCCCTAACCTGTACCCTACCCTTGGACCCCACCCCGTGATTCAAAACCACGGGATGCCAAAAGAACCACCCCACCAGACTAATTCCAAATCAACTACCCCATCATCCTCACTTACACCCCTCATCGGGACTACCCACCCCATCAACATATTTATGACCCATACCCACATTGCTGCCCACTGTCGTGGATTCCACCCCACCCCCTCCTAGCTATCCCACAACCCCCTCGTCTGCACACTTTTCACCCCACCCCCAGGTCATCAAATTGTCCCTACCCCGACATCCCCACTGCTCTCAAAGCAGCCGCCCATGGCGCCGCAGCAAAGGGTATAACATTGCTGCTGCCTGCTCCAGCCTGCTTGGGGTTGTTGTTCGCTTGGTCATTCCGTCCTGATCATTCTGCTGCGGATAAGACACCAGTCTCTTTGGTTTGAGCAAGTTGCTTCACTGTGTGTTGAGATTCTAGTGGCTAGGACTACCAAGTTGTTTGCGGCTTCGCTGGGTTGTTTGAAATCGGTATCGCACCCACAAGACAGCTGGAAAAACAGAGCAATCGAAATGTTTGCTCGCACATTAAGCGCCTTTCTCATCCTCTGCTCCTACCAGAGTGCAGCGTTCTACTTCCATTCCAGCCCGATTTCAGGATGTAGAGGAGCGAGCAACGCAAGAGTCTGTAACTCGGCCAGGCCGTCGTGGACCATGAAGATGAAGTCTTTGGATGATATGCTTCTTCCTGGCAGTCGTCCTGTCGGCCCAGACCCCTTCCGACTTGTGCACGGGGACATGCAATTGATCAAGGCAAAGATCAAGCGACTTGTGGACGACGCCATGTCGTCAAGCAAGAACATGATCAAGAATGCGCCAGCCAAGGGAGGGATGGGAGGCCTTGCCAACAACTGGAAGGAAATCTTTGAACGCCCGGAGAAATCCTGGCGCCCGGCTGCGATCATCTTGCTCTTCCAGGCCATCAGCAAGACTGTGGCTGAGGAGCGCATGAACACTGTGCGAGTGGAGGCGCTCACTATGGCCGAGATTGTGGAGATGATGCATCTTGCTACTCAGATTCACGACACGATCTTGGAGGACGGGGACGAGCTCGACAAGGGAAATCAGGCACACAAGATGTATGGAAGCACTACAGCAGGCAACAAGGTCTCGATCCTCGCGGGAGACTTTCTTCTGTCGCGAGCTTCTGTTCTCTCCGCCTCCCTCAAGAACGTTGCGATAGTAGAGGCTGTAGCGTTTGCCTTGCAGTCCCTGATGGAAGGGCAAGTACAGCTGCACAGACCGACGTCAGATCAGCCTTCGCTCAACCTCTACATCAAGAGCACAAGGAGGAGGGGAGGGATGCTGCTGGCCAAGGGGTGCGAATCTGTCGCTCTGCTGACTGGCTACAAGCAAGGGGATCAGATGACTGAGGCAGCAAAGGAGTACGGGCTCAACCTGGGGATCGCCTATCAGATCCTGCAGGACCTTAAAGTGACGGAGCACAACTATGCCAAGGCCTTGCAGAAAGTGCAGAAAGAGCGTGCGCAGTCAGGAAGCGTGAACTACCTGCCAAGAGAGCTGAATGTGCCTCTGCAGACTGCTGGCCCACTGCTGTATGCTGCAGTTCTCTTCCCCGAGCTTCATGATCTCGCGAAGAGAGGCTTCCAGAACGTGTCGGAGATCATCCATGCTCGCTCCCTGATCGACAGGTGCGATGCGATCAACGGCATGAGACGCATGGCGAACTATCATGCCACGTTGGCTCTGGAGGCGCTCGAGCAGTTCCCAGCGTCTGAAGCCAAGGAGGCTCTCAAGGTCCTCGTTCACTACGCGTTGGAGCAAGAGCAGCCCCGCCTGGTCCGAGCGAACTACTCCCCGGACGGAAGCTTCGTGCGAAACAGCGCGTCCTCTGCTTCAGCGCATGCTGTTCTTGAGCGATCGGAGAGCGTGGCGAAGCAAGAGCTGTACGGAGCTCTTGACAGGCTGTACGGGAGAGCGCGTCTTGGGGTCAACCTCGTGAAGGATTCATTGGTGTGGGGGGTGATGGGGTTGAGGAACAGAGCTTCCAACGACATCAACCGTCTCCATCGGGTTGCCATACGTGATGCTGTGCTGCTGTATGGCAAGGGGGTCGACGTTCCTTCCGTCGTCAAGTTCGTCAACGAGCAGTGCGCGTTCAAGGTGTCAGCACTGGAGGTAGAGAAGATGCTGCATGAGGTGACACGCTGCTTACCCCATTCGAAATCCTCCTCCTCCTGTATGACTGGCGCTTGCTCCTGCTCTCCTCTATGTCCCAGCATTTCTGACCCTTTTGACTGATCCGCTCCAGGAGATTCAGTGGCAGTTGAGGAACGGGATCGAGACCGCCGAAGATATCGACATCTTGGCTGGCAAGGGGTGAGTGAGGGAATTCAGACCTTTGGTAGATCATGACATTGGCTGCAGAGTGAGTGTTCCAGAGTGGCCGGGGGAGGAGAAGATGGCATGAAGGATTCGTAGATGTTATTGATTCTCTACAAGATGTTGCCGACATGATCAGTCATTGCAGTCATCACATTTACATGTAAATTTAGGAACTCAGAGCAAGCAAACAGTAAACGATTGGTGGAAATCAATATGTGTTCGAGTTTTCAAGAATTATGCGCCATTGCACGAGGTCAAAGGTTATCTATCCCGCAGACTTGCAGAGCTTTCACATCTAACGCTTCGACCCATCGTCGTTTCACTCTGTCCTTCACTCCTTCGGGACGAACCGGAACATGGCAGGCGGGAGGGCCTCCTCTGCTGCAAGTTTGGGTCTCCACTCGAAGATCGGATCCTAGGAGAGAGTTAGTTCTTGTGATGTACAGGAGGAAGTGAAAGAAATGTTTTCACCTCTATGATTCCCTGGCGCTTCAACAAAGTGCTCTGGTCGTCGCTCATGATCTCCACGCACTGGAGATAAAAATTAAGACACGGAACAGCAACATGCGCATGCCCGTCTACCTGAACTAGAGCATGAGAGCTGTCAGCTGACCTGAACGCCTTGAAGAACTGAAGGCCCACCAACGTCACGAAAAAGCTGCTCACCAAACAGGTTTCATACCTTTCTCAACAATCTTAGCGGGATGTATTGCTCCATCACATCCACAAAGTCGTTCTCGAACTTTACAGAGACAGCTTCGAGGAGCAACGTCAGCATCTAGCGGGTAAGATCTCTCCTCATCTCACCGTCGTAGGGCGGCAGGACTGCCAGACATCGCTCGTCATTGGCCTGCACGAGTAAAATCATAGGCAGCTCAAAAGAAATGCACAATAGATCCAACCTGGCAATTTCCGTACGCATCTTTATCCTTGTCATCCAGCAACACGATCGTTACGGGTTTGTCTGGCATTCCGCGCTCCCTGTGAGTATTGTTAGAGTAAACCTGCAGGAACAATCTTGAGCGATGTTACTTGTTCTTCTTCGAGATCAGCTTTGCGATTCTAGCCATATCTTTTTGTTGCCCTCTGACGCCAACAAGAGGTCTTTCTTCTTGAACAATTCCCGCGTGCTTGTTCGCACTGATGTCCAGCAGTTGCAGGGCCAGCTTGTTCGCATCCACTACAGGTCTCCCCGAAACCTCGTGGGGGTCATCTTGAAACATCCCTACCAGTCCATTCTCATCGGATACATCCCGAACAATCTGTCCAGCAACTGTACGATCTTTGTTCGTAAAAGTCCACCACTTTGCCTGCGGGTGGCAGTTTACAAATTCCTTCAAACCCGGACGAGACAAGAAATGGATCATGCTATCGAGAGCCTGAGACATATTGAACTGTTTGCAGTATTCGATGAATTCATGCCTGGTCTGCAGATCCACCTGTGGAGGAATGAAATCCATGTCATGCTGCAACTCTTCCTTCCACCATAGCACGCATTTCAACACTAGCTCGACATCGTTTGTCCCCTCGCCGACCAACTTCGACTGGTCGACATCCCACACCAAGTGCAACTCTGTTCCCGCTGCATACTCATAATTTCCATCCTTGGTCTTGGTAACTCCATAGATCGGTATGCCATACCACGTCCCGATCCTGAATTCATCCTCCAAATGCTGCGGGAGGGGCGTATCTCCGGCAGGGATTCCAGCGCCGAACGAAGGACCTCTCTGCATTTTCCCTGTAGTTCGCCCGTCAACCCGACGGATGGAAGGCTTGATCTTCTTCGCCTTCGTCAGCGTCTCATCCTCCTCGGAGTGATGGTCGGGAGAGCCGATCGGGGACGTGACGTACTCCTCAACGGACGGCATGTCATACCATTTGCCGACATCATGCTCCTTGAGAATCGAGGCGATCTTCGACGCTGCGCCCTTCTGAAACACGCTGAAGTCTCTCTCGACCTGCTTGCTGCATGCCCTCCACTGAGTCACTTCGCTCGTTATCTCGGGAGGAATGTTCCCCCACCGCCCTCGGGTCACTATGATCCTTTCAAGCGCCATCATCCTTCGAATAGCACTCCTGCAACGGGCCGCCTGCAGCAGGAAGGATTTTTCTTGGTTCCTCATCAAGATCATCAAGTCTGCAAGCGGAGACGCCTTGTCATGCAGAGGCAGCGCATGGCTGACATTCATGCGCCTCCCAGAGTCATGAGAGCTGCTCCCTGCATTGTAGCTGCTAAAACCGTAGGCTTCAAGCTTTGATGGCACGTAGAGGTCATTGTTCATCTGTAGATATTCGGGTTCATGCAGGTCGGAAGACATGCGATCTTTGAGCTGCAGGTTGAAAGATCCTGTCTTGTCAGAGGGGATCGCCGGCCAAGTTAGAACGCGTTTCAATGTGAACCTGTCAGGAGGGGATTGGACGAACATCGAAGTCCCAGCAACAAGGTGAGCCAGCAGAAGAAGGTGAAAGAATGCTTTCATCTTCGATACTATCGTTCTCATCCTTCCTCAACCTTTTAATCCGCCTACCCAGGAAGATGGTTTGTCAATACGTTTCTGACAACTACCACAGCATCCGATCCTGCTGGTACACTCAGAATGGTGGGATTAGCTTCCTTGGAAGGACGGTATCTTCACGAAATGACTTCATGCTCTGCGAAGAGAGCATCGAGGTTTCGCCACCTGCCCATCCCCCGGCTCCCGTCAGCCTGCGCTCTTCTTCCCTGCATGGCGCCGCAACCTCACACCCTGCTACGGCCAGAAGTACAGTACGGATAGATATCTATATATATATAATCATATATATATATGTACAGCTTTTGTACAATACAAAAAACAACAGTACAAAATTTTTTGTATTGTTGTCCCTTTGATCACTACCTGTCTACAATATATATGTGAGTAACTTAAATTTGGAGTTAATACCCTATTTCTCCACAGCAAAGATGAAACTTCCATATCTGGTTTGACCAGACGCACCAACTTTTAAATAAATTTTTTATAAAATCATCCCAAAAATGATTACAAAGTGTACCTCTATATTCTTGGATCAAGGGAAAATAAGCCTTATAAAATATATTGGTACAAATGTAGGGGCGTTATATAAGTATGATAAAACCTTTTTCCAATAAAGTGTTGTTAATTTAAAACTGTATATAAGTGTCTGCCAGGGCCCCAGCCCGGCCGGCCGGTCCCGGCCCGGGTGCCACTAACTTGACCGCCGTACGGTGCCACCTGGCGTCGAGTCAGACCGGGGCCGGCCGTCACCGTCCACGGCCCGGCGCCGCTGGGACTCCGACTGTGCTGTACGGTACCGTCGCCCGGCGGCGTCGTCACTGAGCCTCCCGGAGGCTCCGGCGAGGCACCGTGGTCCGGCCGGCCCGGGCGGCGGCGGCGGCCCACTGCGCCCGAGCTGCAGTGCGGCCCGCGGGCGGCGGGGCCGGGCCCGGCAGGCAGTCACTGCCGTGGCCGCGGTGACGGGAGTAGACTCTGACAGTGAGGGGCTGACTCTCACGGTGAGCCTCCTGAGTGCAGTGAGCCAGCTGGCACTGCGGCAGACTCCGAGCTGAGCCTGACTAAGAGTCCCCGGACCGTCACAGTGCCAGTCACCCGGTTGTGGCCCGGCGGCGTTGAAGTTCAACGCCGGAAGTTAGCCTTGAATCCTGCCCGGCATACCAACGACCTTGCCCAGCTGATTCTCAGTCTCAAAAGCCTCGACGAGGCTGAAAGACTTGTGCTGGTCGATTATTTGCTGCCGTTTGTCTGGCGATATTCTCTGATAATGCTTGACAACCACCATGATGTACCTGCGGCATTCTTGGTTCAGAAGCGTCGGAATGCTTCCCGACAAGTTCGAGCTGTTCTTACCTTAATTGTACATCCCCATCGAAGGAGACTTCCGGAAGCTGATAAGGCAAGATAATCTCATCAACCTTGGCTGCTTCTTGGCTCAAACTGCAGTCATTGGCCCCACAGTTTGCTCGTCGGTTTCCAATGGCCCAAAGGAGGGAGCTGGAGGACAGGAATCAGAGACGTCGAATCTAATAACATGCTTGTTTCTCCAACAACAATCCTAGACATGTCAGCGTTCGTCTCACATTTATCCTTCACGTGTCATTCTTTGAGCAGAAATCCTCGCACACGATAACACACCGCGTTACCGACCGGGTATTTTTTCCATCGTGCATTCTTCTCAGCTCGAACATGAAGAAGCTGAACAGCATTGGCATATCTTGTTGGTCCGATCCCGGTGCAGGTGCAGGCCATGCGATCTGAGGAGGAGCCGAAAGCATCTTTGCGGGCAATTCTTCCGTTGAATCTAATCTGAACCTGCGGGGGAAATGATCACGCTACAGCATGACTTGAAGTGAGTACACGCCTTAAGTCTTCGTACAAGAGCTGCAGATCAATCATTGTGTCAGCTAACATATCCTCTTCAACAACAGTAGGAATGAATTCCATCTGCTTCGCACCAGCAACCAAATCTGCTTTCAATTTCTTCAATTTTTCCAACCTGGACTTGTTGCGACGTCCCAGGACGCGAAGGATAGCCTCTCTCTCCCTCTCTGTCTTCTCACTCCAATCTGATATCCTCCTCATGCTGCCGTCCTCATTTATCACCAGCGGGCCAAGACGATCCTGTAAACTCAGTCGTCCCCCAACCTCAAGCGTCCCGTCGGATTCTCCTACAGCCGGCAACCCTGGAGTTCTGTCCTTTCTCTCACTTGTGCATGCCCCCTCTGCATCTGCTGCAAGCGCAGAGCTCATGAAAACGCTGGAGCCCATAGCGAGCAGCATGAGGATCGGGCGGCTGCTGCTGCCATTAATTCCAGCACCAATCCTGTCCATGGAATTTCGGCCCGGAGTGAGCAGACTCTGAGGCGGGTAAACATTGTATAAAAAGTGAAAAGTATTTCTTTGGGAGGTTAATTGTCTATTTTTACATCTCCCGGTAGTATTCTTTTAAATGTTTATAGTTACCAATGCCAAGCTCCGAAAAAAGCATTTTATCCGCGCGCCATGGTGAGGTCCCGTACACCTGCAACGATTCAAGCACGCCCCCCCTTGCTAAGTCCACCCATGCTCCTCTACCGATCCTTCCTGTCATCATATCATGCTTGAACCGTCCTCCTGCCTCGTCTTCCTCCCTGTTGGTCTGCAACGGTTGACGTGGGTCTGTCCCGATCTCCGCTGTGCCACTCAATGCAGCAGCGAGATTTCCTTCTGCCCCTTTCCTGCGCAAGGGCGGCCTCGGTCACTTTGTTCAGCAAGCTTCTTCCTCCCCCCGTCCCCCGCCATTCCTGTCTTTCCTGTTCACCGCCCCTCCGCCAATTCTGTTCACTTCGCAATCAACATGAGTGTTGGCAATGACAACGGCACAGGAGAAAGAAGACGTGAACGTCAACGAGGAGGATTTTGTGGAAGACATTGTCATCGATCCCTCGATCGACCAATCTTTCGAGAATCACGTCAATGATGCGATCCGTTCCAAGGTCCCGCAGTTTCTGGAAATGGTCAAGACAGCCGATCTTATCCCTACCCTCGAGAAGATAAGGTGAGAGATAACATGTGGTTTCCTGTCTAGAACTTTTCAAGCCGGAGTAAGCAGCGTGTCCGGTCCTTGGATTGACTTGTTGCCCTTGCAGGTGCACAGAGAGCATGGAAGCACTACTGCAACGATTTCTGAAAGCGAGAAGTGGAGATGTGAACCTGGCATTCAAGTTCTTAAAAGAAGATTGTGAATGGAGGGAAGCCAATCAGATTTTGTCTCTGAGAACGAAGTCCATGGACGATATGCTGGTTGCCGGAAGAAATCCGATCCTCAAGGAAACTATAGTCTCAATGATCCCTCAAGGATGTTTGGGTCGGGACAAACAAGGAAGGCCTATACTGTACCGCAAGGTGACAGGGAACATGAATGTGCAAAAGCTTGCAGAACTTGGGTACAGTGTTGAAGAATTTTTGATCTACCAGGCGTAAGCAACACTGCTTCGTTGTGGTTGTCGTTTGATGAAGTGTGTTCCCAGATGGATGCTCGAGCGAACTGTTGCCATGATGAATGACAAGGGACAGTGGATCAGTATCATGGACCTGGGAGAACTGAACTTGACAAAGATGATGGGCAACCTCAATATCGTAAAGGCTTTCACTGCCCTTGCCAAGAACCATTTCCCTGAAAGGTTGGATGTCTCGCACCCAGGATGTCATGACATGTTTGTTGGTTGACAGGCTCGCACACAACATAATCATCAATGCACCGACTGTCTTTGGGATTGTATGGAGGTCTTGCTTCCGTCTCTGTCTCCTGCTCTGCTTGCTTCCTCGACTTTGTTTCTTTCTCGCCGTCTTCCCCCTCACTCTTTGGTTTCATCTTTTCTCACTCATTCGATGCCTCACACCATCATCCCTGAACGGTGGTTCATGCCTCCAGACTCTTGTCCTCTCCTTTCTTCACTGATTTTATCCTCCTCACTGCTGCCTTGTTACTCCTACCTTCCCTTAGTCTCCACTTCTCGCAGAACGCTCACTCACTGTGCATGCACACCAGGGCTGTACAAGTTTGGCTTGACAAAGAAACACAGAAGAAAGTTTCTATTTTCAGCTCTCCCAAGAACGTACAGCCTTGCTCTTGCTGTGTTTCAAAGGGCTGATTTTTTTCTTTTGCAGTGGAAGCCAGCTCTCGAAAAGGAAATGGACCTGAATCTCCTCCCCACGGAGAGCGGGGGCCCAGCTCACTTGTCTTACTCTCCCTCAAGTTTTGATCCTTAATGAACCAATGAAGTTTTCAAGTGATCCTGAAGCATAATGAGAGAATTACGCCGGTGGCATGGTGCCAATCATGGGGGGAATGTGACGCCGAGTCCGATCACGCCGAGTCTCGGCGAGCCGGGCCGCCGAAGGCCGCGACTACCCAGCCGCTGAGCGCTGCGGGGGCGGGCCGCCCCGCGCTCGGCCGAGTTCAAGTTTCAGAGGGCCAGGCCCGGCCCAACCATTGAGTGACTAAGCCGCGGCCGCCGCGGCCGGGCGGCCCGAGGCGGGCGGCCCTTAAGTTGGCCCGGCCGCCGAGTCAGTAGTCAGTACCGTGACGGCGGCGGCCCGGCCGCCGTCGGCCCCGGATCGCCACCGTCCCTGACGGTTCCGAAGCGGCTGAGTCACCGCCCCGGGGGGGGGGGGCGGCCGGCCGGGTGCCCTGGGCGGGGGCCGCCAGGCGGGCTGTAAATTATTGACTCCCGCAGTACGGTCCCAATCGGACTGCAAAATTGCGGCGAGTCCGCGCAGGGATCGCTTCTCAGAGGCTAAGTTGAAATGGGCAGCAAAAACACCACGGGTGTATTTCATGTTCTGCGTCTTTGTGCCTCAGAACACGACGATGAGGCGGACCCGATGAAGAATTCATACCTCTACAATAACGGTCGTAACGAGACCTGAATCTCGTACCTCTGATTATCACCCACCCACAAAACGACGGAAGAAAAGAGGGGTCCTTGTAAAAAGTCAGTAATATGGCCAGGGATTTTGGGAGATGTTTTAAAAATCATAGTTTTAAAGTTTGAGCTGCGAGGGGACGAGGGTAAGGACAATGAGATGGTCGGTGGGGGTACATGATTTTTTGTGGAACGGGTGGGGTACATGGTCTATTGACAAGGTACGGGGTACTTTGAACGGAAAATAAGGGGTATCCAGCTTTGCACTCTCTCCGAGGGGCTACGATTAATGCGAAGTTGAGGCAGGGGTGGGGGTGGTAGGGGTGTAAGAAATATCTCAAGATTTTGTTGACTGAACCAGACCTTACGAGTTTACCCCCCTCCCTCCCAATGCTCATACCACCCTGTACCCCCACCCACCTTTGACTAACCCCACCCCCTGACGCTCGATTCCGTGGTGAGATCTGCATTCATCAGTGCCTGATCCATCTAGACCCCACCCCTAGTCAATCCATGACCCCTCCATCGGATTATTAGACTAGAGAATATAGGAAAGTACCGGTTGTTTTGTAGTTAAATGTTAGGGTACTTTTTATAATAAGGAACCCCTGATTTATGTCCCACCCACCTAGGATTCCAATGAGTACCCACCCACCCTTGAATTCCTGTCATTGCCGAATTGCAGCCCACGGCCCACCCCTACCCCTCTCATGATCCATATTCCTTGGTAAAACAGTACCCTACTGGACCAAATGGAGTTGATCCACCCCACCCACCTTTCCACCACAAGTACCCCTAGTTTCCGCACTATCGACACCTTCTGACGTGCAACACCCACAACCTCTTCCTATCCCACCCCAATCCGAACTACCCACCCTACCCTATCTTGATCACTTTGAGGACCCACCCTATCCCCCTCCCAAGGTCCTTATAGGCAGCTTCCGCTTGCACCGCCATCGTCCTCCTCATGTTCCGCGCGATCCTCGTCGCCGCCTGCGTTGCCGCAGCAACTGCTTTCTCCCCCAGCGCCCCCCTGGCTCGCCCTTCCTCCTCCAGGAATGTCGGTAAGTTGAACAGACTCAGACCTCTTCCATCTTGTATCGAGCCTGTGGTTTCAACATCGCTTTTCCCGTTGCAACCCATGTGACAGTGGATGTGACGGGTTTGGTGGATGTGATGGGATTGAGCTTGATCGACCTGAAACATTGCTATCTTGTCTTCTGCTTGTGTTCACTTGTGCTCCACTGCATTCCTCTGCTTTTCTGTGCTGTTTTGCGCGAAAGCATTTTGTGACATGATTTTACAGCTGCCGTCGGCCCTCGCATGCAGGCCATGTCCAAGTCTATCCCCTTCCTCAAGAAGCCCGCTGCTCTCGATGGAACCTTGGCCGGAGACGTTGGCTTCGACCCGCTCGGACTTTCCTCTGTAGCCGATGTCCGCTTCTTGGCCGAGGCTGAGCTCAAGCACTGCCGTCTTGCTATGCTCGCCGCCCTCGGAGCTATCGTTCAGGACATCTTCACCTTCCCTGGAGTCTCCAAGGTCGTCGGATCTGAGAAGATGACCGGAGTCCACGACATCCTCGTCAAGCAGGGTGCCATGGGACAGATCCTCCTCTGGGTTTCCTTCCTCGAGGTCTTCGGAACCCTCGCTCTCTTCGAGACCCTTGACGGCAAGCGTGCCCCTGGTGACTTCAAGTTCGATCCCCTCGGATTCGGAAAGAACGCTCAGACCCGTGAGCGCTATGCCCTCGCTGAGGTCAAGAACGGCCGCTTGGCTATGTTGGGCTTCGGAGGAATGGTTCACGGATACTTCCTCACTGGCAAGGGACCCATCGAGGCCCTCCTCAACTTCCAGTCCCTCAAGTAAACATTTTCCTCCTTTGTGACTATAATGAAACCCCATGTAAATGGTCCATTCATCTCTGTCTCACCTTCAACTGATAGACTCTTCAGAGTTGTTTCATCGTGACAAGTTTATCATACAACACTACATGTTCCTGGTAATACACATACCTGCACTCCATCCTTCAGCTCAGTGTCTGCGATAGAGTCATGCTGATTGTGCAAGCATTTTTCAAACGTCTCACTGATGTCTGTTATGTCCGGGTTGCTTCTGACAAGGCTGGCGATATTGGACTGAAACCTGAGCACGAGCATGAGTACCCGCATTACTGCACAAGGGATTCGCAACCTGTCAGCGATGCTGGTGAGCGTGTCGTACCTCCTGGCAGGATAGAGGGGCCCGAGATTGATGAGCTCTGCCTCCTCCACCTGATCAGGGTTCAAGAGCTGCGGGTTCGCAGCGAAGAGCTGCAAAGTCGAGGTCAGGGAGTCCTCCTCCTCCTCCACCTCCTCCTCCTTCTCCCCCTCCTCCTTCCTCGTTCCTCCTTGCCCACCTGGAGCCAGTCGGTTGCAAACTCCTGAGAGATCTGGAGGAGCGACTCGCCCTTTCGCGCGCAGTACCTGGACCTTGCTCAGCCACGAGCACGGAACCAGGCCTGCCTCACCTGCACTTGCTCACAGTGAGGATCAGGCAGCGAGACAAGCGGGACGACGTGAGAGAAGCAGCCTGCAGAGAATGTTAGGAAGAGAAAGTGCTGGTGGTGGGCTGAGGAGTGAGAGAGGGCCAGGGGGGGAGGAGCGTTGAGGCAGGGCAGGGAAGGGAAGGGCAGGAAGAAGGACGAGGACAACTGCTTGCCTGGAAACAGACTCGTTGTGACAAGCCCTGCTGGTCGTTCGATGGTCTCCAGAGGATCCTCCGCTCAACGCGCGTGCACAGGAAGATACCAGGGACCTGAAACATCACGAGGATGAGACAAGATGAGGGATGGCCGTGAAACGAGTGTGTAAGACACCTGAAAATCCGGTGAAGAGGAGGTGCTCGGTTGGCACACCGGATCCGATAGCGAAGCTCCGGTTGGGAGCGTGTACTGGAGGCCGTCCGGCTCGATGGAGATGTCAAAGTAGTCAGTCAGGTCGACGGCAGCAAGGGGAACATCCAGCTGGCAGCCCAGGTAGGTGAAGATCTCAGCTCCCTCCTGAGGAGTCAGGGAGGACCAGGAGATCGACGGGGCAGGGACGATGAGGCGGATGCAAATCGGCATGGACCTCCTGTCCTCCTCGCTGCACAGGTGCTGGTCGTTGCGAGACTGGAAGCAGAAGACCTGGTCCAGGCCAGCATGCGAGAAGTTGGCGGAGAAGTTGAGGAGGGAGGTGACCGGGTTGCAGACCGTTAGCGACTGGCCGGAGGAGAAATTCCACGCGGATGTCGCGGGGATTTGAGAGCAGACGTTGGGGTTCCAGTCGAAGCCGAAGATCAAGGAGGTGGTGGAGGAGGGGACGAACGAGACCGACAGCGTCTGGGTGTCGTCGCTCGCGTTGAAGGCAAACTGCTGCTTCCTTCCGACCCTGACTGTCACCTCTTGGTAGGTTCCTGCAGTTCCGAGCATTGTGAGGGCCGGCCGGGTGCATCGGAGCACGCGGATGAAGGAACAAGAGGGAGGAGATGTCACGAACTTGACCTGATCCCGCGCTGTAAAACAAGCTTGAAAGACGTCGAGCATGCTCGGGCCCGAGTAGAGGTAGCGGACGTTGGCCGCCAGCAGCTCGCAGGGAGGCAACCAGGTGTAGTTTGCAGATCCTGAAAAGGAGAGGAAGAGAGGGCGGGCTCCTGCTGTCCAAAGAGTGTCGTTGTGGAGGGACGGGCCGGCGAGGAGCTGGTCTACTCGGAGATTTTCTGCTGACGTGGAAGATGAGGATGGGAAGATTTGCATCAAGTTGCTCCTCCCGCAGACGAAAGACTGCAAGGAACCTCCCAGGATGGACACTGCTGGCCTCGTGGCCGAGTTTGCGGGGTTGACCTGCCAGGCGGGTTAGCCCAGCAGGAGGAGACGAGGGAGTTGACCCGGATGATAAAGGAGACGAAAGTCGATCCGGCGCTATAGGTGTCGATTTTAGCCTGCGACTCGAAAGATCAGAGGGAAACCAAGCAGAGTAGAAGGAGTGAGAGAGATGGGGAGTAGAGATAGATAGATTGCTTCACGAGGACGATCAACAAGGGGCCTGGGTTGAGAGGTAAGCTAGCAATGCTGTGGCACAAACCTCAACAACAACATAGACCACAAACAGGCCGACTGTTGTGGTTGAATACCATTGGACCTGCAGTGTGAAATGATGTAGTTGTCTTCATGCGCACTGGCATCATTCTACCTCCCCTGTCGTAGCATCCACTGCAAGAGAAGCAGGAGGTCCGGGCAGCTTGCTGGTCCCCAAGGGATCGAACTCTTGCTGCGTCCCTATCCTCCAGCTCAACTTGTTTCCTTCAGGCTGTCTAGATGTCACAAATGGATAACAGGAAGGAAGGTTTGAAAGCGCTGGCGGTGATAGTGGAGCGTAAATGAAAGCGGCAGCGGCAGCGGCAGAAGAAGAAGAAGAAGAAGAGGGGTCAAAGCACCTGAAATGCTTGAATCTTGAATGACATAGTCTGTCCAGCGTAGGCCTCGACCTGCATGACTCGGGCAATCATGGGGCTCTCGTTGGGGAGCTTGTTTGCCAGCTGGATCATCGCCCGCTCTTGCCAGTACGAGCCCGCGTTGTTGACAAGCGTTGAGAGTCTGCAGCAACCCTTGAACTGAATGGAGTAGTTGCTGAGGGAAAGGTATTCTTGTATGTACTCCGACAGTACGACCATCGTGTTGTTGAGCACATTTACATCTATGGGTTCAGATCAGGACACAATAACTTCACGGCCAGCCATTGTCACCTTGAACGACTCCTTCGATGCATTGCCCGAACCTGCTGCTCGTGATGCTCCTGCACAGACTTCTGTCTCCTGTCAGAATCCTGGACTGCCCCAAGTCCAACTGGACCGTGCCGGAGAGGAAGCCTTTGGGGTCATATAAGGACACCACATCTCCGATGCTCGGAACCATCCTGGAGTTGTAAGTCCCTGTACACTGCTGGCACTGCAGCACGTTGGACACGACCTTGCAGTTCCCTTCGCATCCGAGCTCCGGGCTCGAGAAAGACTGCCAGACCCACCCTGTAAACAACTGAACCCGCACGCGTGGAGGTGTGACAGACTCCTGTCGCCAGCGGAGAGTCGAAAATCTGAAAGCACAAGCAAGTCACGGCTGAAGGAGGCGGAAGAGCAGCAGGAGCAGGAGCACTCACGTGATGTTCTGGGACAGACAGAGATCGATTGAGGCTAACACCACAAAGACGACATGACAACGAATTTTAGATTGCAGCCGCATGTCTAGATTGAGGTGACTTGGCCAGATAGCCTCTGGCACAACGAGGATTTGTGAAGTTGGCCCCTCCTCCTTGGCACGACTCAGACTCGCGCTCTGTTGGCTTCCCTCATGTGATTGCCTGACCATAAAAGTTAGTGAACTCTTCACTGATCTCCTAGCTAGCCTACACCTCCCCTTCTTCGGCAAAGGTTCAACCAAAACTTTTCCAGCTCATGCACGCTCAACTTCCTACTAGTCTACCTGAGCTATCCAGCATTCGCGGCTACCGTCTCGACAGTTCGGCCACTGGCCGGGCACCGGACAGGCTTCCTGCTCCTCCTAGTCTCGCCTCGCCCCTGCAGCCGCATCTGCTCTTGCCGCCCTCCGAACGGGGACCTCCTGCTCCTCCTCCTCCTCCTAACTAGCTACCATTGAATTCAACCGACATCAAAATTCCAAGTCAACATTGGTTTTCATCTCCCTCATAACCACTGGGTGCCCTCGTCCCCTCATTGCCTTACCGGAGTGATCCCGTGTTCTCGGAAAAAAAAAGAAAAGTTGAGCTTTTTCAAAAACATTTTAGCACGGTCAACAGTACTAGGGTACATATTGTTCCGACGCGACATTACATAGTTTTAAAGCATTCGGATAGTTTTATATCATAGTAAAAATACTTAATAGTTATATAATAATATTAAAATACCATATGCCCGTCTTGCCACTTCCTCCTCGTTTCTTGGTCCTCGTCCTCGTCCTGTTCCTCCTACCCCACACCTTCATCTCGTCTATGCTCCTTTGTTCTGCGTCTTCCGTGTAATCCCAGATCGCTCCTCTTACATCGTTACGTTTAGGCCCCTCGCCCGCACTCGACTACCCCTGCCTGTCCCCTTCGCACTGTGAGCCAGCCATGCTTTCCCTTTCCCTTCTTCCAACATCGAAGCTACATCCTTCTTTTGCTCATATTTACATCCTCGAAGTTGGCGTTGCCTCTCCTGATGCTCTTTGCTGCTTCTTGCCAACCTAACCGTGTCTTATGATCTCAGACTTCGAAGCTTGTTACTCATTTCCTTCTCATCCATTTCTTATCTGTACATTATCTATACAACCTCATCAAAACGAAAAAGAAGTAAGACAGAATTGATGAAGTTGAGCTAGGTTAAGGCTGCTGGATAGCAACGATATAACGCGGTTTGGTTTCTCTCACAGCAAGGCTGAACATTTTTGTCCTCAGGTGCAAATGACGGAGGTCTGGTAGGAGGAGCTTGTTGATCCCTGTGGGTCCAGTCGTCTCATCCTTTGCAAGGAGGCACACAGAGAGCCATGACGGAGTCGGTGCGGCAAGGCATCAATAATGCTCTGCTCATGCGCTCGAGGTCGGTGAAACTGATGAAAGATGAGGAGGTGGATAACGTAGAGGTCAAGAAGCGCATGAAGTTGAAGGTGATGAGACATGTCGCCTTCTTCTCCTGACAATCATCCCAGCTGCAACTTTTCTCGACGCTGAGAGAGACAGAGGACGAAGTGAAGTCGATTAAGAAGTTGAACAATGGCCGTTTGATGATCCTCTTCTTCAACGCTTTCATCGCTATGGTTGGACTTCTCCTGTCCATCGTCATCTCAGAGACTTGTCGCTACGGCTACATCCCGACCAGCCAGGAGATGGCTCAAGGCATGCTCAACCCGCTCGATGATCCATCAACAGGCTGCAGAGACAAGCCGAGAAGGATTGTAATTTTACAGTGTTTGATCTCGCTTTCTACCGCTGTACTAGCCTCGACGATCATCTACGGCAACTACAAGCACTACAAGATGCTTAAGGCGATGAAATCGTTTGTGTTGACACGACAGACCATGTCTGTGGAGTTCTTTGAGCAGATCAAAGAGTTCAAAGCGTTCTACTGGAACGAGATGATCCTCTTTGATATCAGAGAAATCGTCCTTTGTTGTCTTGTACATCCATTCCCTTGGTGAGGAGGATTCTCGCGTGCAATTGAAGATTTGATACTGCAATCAGGTTCTTCAAGACTATCACTGTCGAGCAGATGAATAGGACAAGCATCTACCAATTCGAATCTCTCATCGTTATCTTCATGTTCTTGAGACTGTGGCATATTGCCAAGTTGCTGCTCCATCTGTTCTACAGATTTTATTTCGAGGAGAGCATCTTTGTGCTGGGCAACAGCTACGATCTCGTCAAGATGTTCGAGCAGAAGCCTTACATCTCACATGTTCTCATGTTCAAGACCTTCCTACGATGCCACCCTGTGAAATGCATCTCGACTTGGTTCCTCTGCCTCTTGTTCGTTGCTGCCTACTGCATCCGTATAGCCGAAAGCCCTTCCAACTACCTTCACTCGGTATACTTCTGGAACCAGGTTGCGTTATCCCATCCTCACTACAACGTGGTTCTGACAATCAGGTTTGATCAGATGTGGATGGTGATCGTGACAATGGTGAGGATGATGTTGATGAGGAGATTCATCTGAATGAAATTTACAGACAACGACGGGATATGGCGGTGAAGGATGCGCAGGAGAGTGTGAGACGTTTGACATTTGCGGTAGATATGTATCCCTCCTCTCACTTTGGCAGATTGATTTGCATCGTCGTAATGTGAGCGGCTAGTCGTCTTGATCGCTCATGAGGATGACGGGGCTCAGGTTGCTGGGGATTCTACTGGTTTCAATCACCACAGCCATCATGACGACCAAGCTTTCTCTCACGCAGAACGAGACTGAACTGCTGAAATACTCTGAGGTAGACATGCAATGTTGAGATGTTGAAGTTGACATGATGACTTGACAGCTGCAAACATTCAAGAAAGCAGCTGTCATTGCAAGCGTGAAGTTTTTACAGCAGATCTACCGGGTAGCAGACCAACAAACAACATGAGCGTGTAAAGTTCTCTCGCAGACGAATCGAGGAAAGCAGAAGAAAGATCCCATCCTGCTGAACAAGCTGAGGCGAGCCTTGTTCAAGACCGCCTACCTCTACAACATCCACTTGTGCGCCCAGGAGTCACCCGTGAGTAGCGACTCACTGAAGTCGCAGGCAAGAAGTGGAAGAAGCGCGTCGGAGGCAGCAAGAAGGAAAAGAAAAGGCTGCGGGGGAACAGGTGGGCGAGACGACTCGGGAAGACCCAGGGCGATTGCAGCAGATCATGGATAGACAGCAGGAGCTTCTGGAGTGGAAGGCGACGGTAGACTCCAAGATGGAGGCGCTGCAGGTATCTTCCTCTACCCTTCAACATGTCTCTTCTTCCCTCTGCTTCATGGCCTTTCTCATCCCAGCGTTTCCTCCCATTTTTGCACTCTCGTTCCCTCCTACTCCTGCTTCCCCTCCCTTCTTCCCTCCCTCCCATCCTCTCCTGGCGACTCTGGAAGGTTCATCACGCTTCTCATCTCCTTGCAGGGCTCGTTGGACGAGATTCTCAGCCTCCTCAAGGCCAGGGATCGTCAGCCCATCACCTTCAGGACTGAGATCAGCAGCTCGCACGTATCTCCATCAGCGGGAGCAGCGGGAGAAGGAGCGGAAGGTGGGCAAGCCTCCGGCCATGCCGTTAAGACGAGGAGGAGGCACTCATCGAAGCCCAAGACCATCTCGACTGAGCTTCTCAGCATTCTTCCCAGCATCGACTACAGTCTCAGTCGCACACGGTCAAACAGCAAGTCTAGGGATGAAGATCCCGATATGGCCAAGTTGCGGGAGAGACTCAGGAGGCAGAGCCTGAAACCGAGCCCGACAGCATGGCGCTCTAGTGAAGAGATGAAATCGCAACTCCGAGGGTTTTCATCCATGTCATCATTCGCCAACGTGTGAAGGCGACAGATAGACAACTTTACTTGTATATGTTTCAACACAGAATACTTAGCTGGGATATGGTGCAACAAAGAATATTTTACTTCGGTATGTTCAATATAGACAACTTAGCTTGAGCATGTCTCTACACAGGAAACCTGACAGCATCAGTCATCGAGCTGGGTCAAGAGCGCAGCTCCTCGTTTGACCCAGTGGGCCTCAGTCATCTTGGAGGGCAGCACCATCTCCATCACGAAGTTGGTGCTGTGACCTGTGGTGGACAGCGTTCCTCTCCTCGCGCTTGTCTTGTAGAGGGGGATGGGGTAGTCGCCGTCCTTGAGCTTGAAGTCCGTCACGAGGATGGGAATCAGTTGAACCACGGGCATGGGCTCGAACAAGACTTTGGGAGACTGCTCTGTCAGGATGTTCTCTTCGTAGTCCCATGCTGCCCCATCAATGAAGAGGCCATCGATGTAGCAACCGTCCTCAGCCCTCTCGTTGGGTCGCACGAGGATGGTCTTGAAGTCCCATCGCAGCGTGTCGATAGCAAGCTGATGCTTCCTTGCGAAGTTCTGCAGGGTCCCGGTGAGGAACGACTGCGTGAAGTAGAAGCCCGAGAGCCAGTAGACGGGCGGCGGACCCTCGTCGATCCACTTCTGCAGAAACTGCAGGCGGTGCATGAAGTCTTCGAAGTAGCTTGCCAGAGGTTTGAGGGAGGGGTATGACACGTTCAACCACAGACTCGGTACCTGCCCCACCATGAACGAGTTGGCAACAGCCTCTAGGTCCCCGGACATGACGATCAGGCCCTTGACGGCCTTGATGAGCTGCTGCAGGGAGTGTCGTATCACTACGATCACTCGATTGAACCTCAAGCACTCCTGCGTCAGCACAGTGTTCATGCTCTCCTTGTAGTCCGTGGGGTACACCTCGGCCACCTCGTCCACTCGGAACGGCAGCCCAAACCTGAACAGGTCTGACTGGGTCGGGAGCGACTCTTCCATCCTCTGTGCCATCTGCTCGAGGAAGGAGTCGGAGCTCTGACCTCCCTCTGCCCCGGACGACTCGCCCTTGGGCATCAGGAGGAGCATAGACTCGAACAGCAGGTACGTCTCGTTCTTGGCGTACGTGATGTTGGCGTTCTCGTGTAGCCCGAAGACTTCCGGCTCCTCCAGCAGGGGGAAGTTGCGGATGTACCCCAGCTGCTCTTCAACTGACAGGTTGCCTTGCGGGACCAAGTATTTCCCAGACTCGGAGAAGGAGTACTTCTCGTCAAGGATGTTGGGGTTGTAGATGTCAAACAGGATCTTCGACGTTGTCCGCCTGTCGAACGCGTCCGTGACTCTCCCTCCATAGTTGGTCTCCCCGGCGGTGTACCGCAGGGCCTCCCAGGGCACGTTTTCAAACTCGTCGAGGAACATCTTGAGCTGGGTCTGGCAGATCTTCAAGTCGCTCTCGGTGAACTCGTAGGGGATGTTGAAGCCCAGGGGCCCGAACTTCCTTCTTTCCTGCAGGAGGGCATGGAAGAAGGCAAGGCCGAAGTGCATCTTACGCAGTTCACGTGGTTTGCTGCACGAGTCGAAGAAGGAGTCTTCGAGGTTGACGTAGGTGTTGAGCATGTTGGCCCTCAGCCCTCTCGGAGGCTGCAACGTCATCTTGACGCCGTTCTGCAGGATGGAGACAGGAAACTTGTCGCTCGGGTAGCTGGTCAGCCACAGGCGGAACTGAGGGTGAGCTCGGTCTGCCGTGAAGCTCTCCACCTTGGCCTCCAACGAGGGCATCCAGCTGGGCGCCAGGTGGCAATTCTGAAGGACGATCCAGGTACCAGCATCGATCGCGTCGTCTATCATCCGCTGCGCGATCGGACCCTGTCCTTGACCGAGAGACAAGCTTTCCAGCTTGACCCCGAAGGAGTCGGCGAAGGCGATGAGGGAGGCGTTGGGATCAGCTCCTGGCGACAAGAGGAAGATGAGAGGAGAGACAGGGTTCGAGTCCTCGTAACAAGCTTTGAGATCGAACTGAGGGGGGTCCACGTATCTCTGACCCATCTCACTGATGATGAGGTTGGTAATCATCGGAACCACCTTGTCAGGTCGTAGGCAGCGCATGATGCAGAGCTTCTGGAATTGACTCAGCGACTCAGCGGAGCCGGGCATCGGCAGGGCGAAGGGCTCGTTGGAGTCGTAGATGGTCTTCCATTGCTCCAAATGAGAAGAGACCTCGTGCGAAATGTTTTTGAATGGACCAAGAAAAGACAACTGCAGCAGCTCCGTCCATGCTCGGTCAGGAATCCAGTCTGCTGGTTTCTCTAGCTGCTTCTCAGTGACTATCCCACCGATCCCGCTGAGGAGAAACCTGAGCTCCTCGACATGTATCTTGTTGGTGAAGAGCATCAGGCGAGTGCAGACAAGAAAGGAGTACAAGATCTTGTCCTTCTCAAACAAGGACCTGCAAACGTTTCTGTACAGTGAGTGAGTGAAGCGCTCGATCAAGATGTTCACTCTCTCTTCCACCTCGGCATTGGGGCTTGGGTCGTTCATCGCGTTGACAAACAGGTTGATGAACCAATCGAGCGAATACTGGTACATGGGCTCGATGTTCCTGAGATCCGCAATGCAGAAGAATAACTGCGATCCTCTCTCAGGGTAGGGAGCGTATTTCATTCGCGTGTGATTGATCTCAGCCTCTGTCTTTTCAGCTGCTTCCAGCGCAATGCCGATTTCATTGGAGGTGACTTTTGACGCAGAGAGCGTATTGATGAGCTCTTCATCTTCAAGGATATCTCCTCCAGCCTCTGAAAGCATCTTCAAGATCTTGTCTTCAATCTCAGCTAATTGCTTCTTGTAGCTCGCATTTTGCACGACAAGCATCTGCCTCTTCGCTTCAAACTCACTCCTCTCAACCTCTACAGTAATGCCGAGCAGCTGATCTTGCAGCCCAACAGGCGTTATGGTAAAGTTGATCAGAACCACCTTGGTCGAAACTTCTGGAGCATAATGAGGGCTCGGTAGTTTGGTGGTGATGTACAGTTTGAATTGATCGTTGTATTCAACCGTGCTGTCACCAATGTTGATGACAAACGATCCGCCAGATTTGTAAATGGACTTGGACAACAAGGGCTCTAGGATTGTGTCTAGCGACTCGCCGACGTTCTCCAGGAGGACTGGTCTGCCGTACTCTACGCAGGTCTCGATGGTCCTTACAAAGTTAGGGGTGCTGAGCTTCACAACCCCGATCTGCGCCTCCTTCTCCATGTTCCTGATCCATCGGTTGGCTTGTCCTTGCGGGTCGATCATCAGCGGCCACCTACGGGACTTGGACATGATGATGGCGTTGTCGGTCGAGAGGGCGTCCCTCGGCAACCCGGCGATGTTCCAGTCACGGATCTGAACAGGGTTGCCGAGGATCTTTTCAAGCGCGATATTGCTGGAAGAGGGAATTCCTTTCTCCTTCACGGAGTGAACTGATTCTTCAATGTAGGTCGTGCGATACTCTGCGCTGAAAACACCGAGGTATGCAACGATCGAGGAGCTGATGAGCACGTCGCCGGTAACGTTCTGGAAAGCCTCATTCAAGGTTTGAACATTCTCGCTCCATCTAATTCGCTCGCTGCCCAAACCAGAAATCAATTTACCGGCTCGCACCAGTTTCTTCTCACACAAGTCCACCTGGTTTGCTAAGCTTACTTTCTCTTCATTCGCAGCCTTAAAATCCGCCTCGAGCTTTGCAATCTTGTCGAGCACCTGTCGGAGAGCATCTTGTTTCTCATGCAGGTCTGCCATCATGATGGCGAGGGCATCTTGAGCTTCCTTCAAGGCGATACGTTTGGGTTCCACTACCTTCGCAACCTTGTCGTATACCTCCATCGCTCTGACCCACTTGCAAAGCCCGGTAGCAGCCTTGCTTTGCTTCTCGATGACGTTGGGCATGAAGTCTGGTAAAGCGATGTAGGTCTTGATCTTTGCGATCACAGCTGGGGGGATGTTGTCTTTGTCATACTCGATCAGCTGCTGCATGAAATTCGGCTCTCCCAGCAGTTTTTGAGACGGCTTCCAATAATCGTCGATTTTGGTTTTCCCATCTTCGGACATAACCTTGTCAGGTTTGATTTGGAGCATGATGCATACCCCCTCCATGACTAATTTCACTCCCTTTGGCGGATTTTTCATAGACTTCATCTCTGTGATGTCGTTCTTGGTGAGAGATTTCAAAGCCTGGAGGGCAGCATCCAGGGCTGGAAGAGCTTCAGCTAAATCGTTTTCGCAAGATGCTTTCATCTCATTAGTCTTTTCTGCTTCTGTCTTCGCAACTGCTTCGTCTGCAGCACACTTTTCCTTGGTGACAGCAGCCTCAGCCGATTCCTTGTCCAACACGACTATCAGATCTTCTACTTCCTTCGTCTTGCTTGCCAGGATGGGTTGCAAAGCTGTAAGTTCTTCCTCCATTTGCGAAACATTCTCGGCGCATGCAAGCAACTTATTCAATCCAATCTCGTACCTGCCCTTTTGGTAACCTACCTCTTCTTTTTTCACGTTCAACAGGCTTTTGAATGTCGATATCAACTCCAAATAACTTGTAGGAGTCACGTAATTGTATCGGTTCACTTCTGCCAGGTACCTCTTGCTCAAAGATTGCGCCTGAACTTGAAATTGCATGCATTGATCAATGACAGGTCGTAGAATATCATTCTCAAGCCCTATTCCTTCTAAAGACTTTTGAGCAACAGCGATCAGGCCATCTTCTGGCCAAGGAAAGTACCAATCGATAGTACAGCAGTTCACAAGCGACGGGAACTGCCTGAGCCTGTCACGGAGACCCGATCCTATGGGGCTCATACAGATAACGATGTGCATGTTCTGCTTGCACTCCTCGATGAAGAACTCGATGGAGTCTGTCATAGTGAGGCCACGGCCTGCAGCCTTTGCTCGTGGAGCCACCGCGTCAAGAACCTGCATCATCTCATCTGCTGGAAAGAGGTTAGGCACTGAGCCTGTGTTGAGAATATTGTTGATGTCTTCAAGCATGGACTCAACAACTATCTGAGTGTCTGTGAATAAAAAGACTGCTCGATGGTTCTCGCAACCTGCCTTCTTGAAAAGAACCTTAAGATCCTCAAGCCAAGCTGCCTTATCGTAATTCTTCGATATTTCAATGTTGAACAGCCAGAACTCTCCGATAGATGCTGCAAGGCGAGTAAGCGACTGCCTCCCGCTCCCTCCAACTCCAACAAGGAGGGCATGGCCCCCAGGTTGCCTGAAGATTCGACACAGACGGCAAATATGCTCAATAACGTATCCAAAAAGAACCAAGTTCATAGGCTTGTTTGACATCAGATTGTAATCTTCGAGGAACTCTTCCACGACAGCAGTTGCAAGGGTGATGTCCACGACTTGTGTGTATTTCCTCTGCTCATAATCCAGCTGGCTTCTCTTTCCATCTAACATGAAGTCAGAGTACAAGAGAAGACCATTTCCATCAGCGCCCTGTCCAACTATGGAAGCGATCTGGGTCTTGAAGTTCTCTTGAACGACGGTGCTTTGCATCTTGTCAAACCACTCCTTGTCTGCAGAATCAATCAGGCGATCCTGGAATATTCTTCTACTCTCGTGGATCCACGCACGATACAAATCGTCGGCTCCCTTGATGCTTTCACTGTTCACTGTCATGATTCCTTGGATGACCTTTGACAGGTCCCTCAAGTTAAAAGTGTAATGCGACTTGGAAGGGGTGGGTAAAAGCCCTTCCGATATGTTCTTGAACACTTGAAGGGTAGCAGAAACAATGTGAGTGGTGATTGATGACGATACTGACGTGCACACATTCTGGCACCACCAGCTCAAAATCGTAGTGAAAATTCTCGTCATTCCCTCATCGTCGAAGGGGGTCACTATGATGATGTTATACCATCGTGTGTAGCGACATGTTATGTCTGTCCTGCTGCCCCCAGGAAGACCCATCGCAGCGATGTAAACGATGTCAACGAGCTGTTTCCATTCGATTTCCTTTCTATCCCACCATCCTCCCCAATGCATATGCTGGCGCAAGATCTCAATGGGCGGCTGAGCTCCATACTTTTCCTTTGCAGGCATATTCAAATCATCCACGAAAATAATCAATTTCTTCCCAAGTGGTGGACCATAGACGCCTTTCCTCCGTTTATCAACTTTGCCATCGATAATGTCTTGAGTTTGATTTGCTTTTGAGTTTGCCGAAAAATTCATGAAGTGGGATAAAAATGTTTCACCCATTCCTCGCATCAGGATATCTTTTACCATCACAGACTTTCCAGTACCCGTGTCACCACATAACAGGACTGGATAATCATGTCTTAATTGGGTTTGAATGATATATCCATACCGCAAGGTATCTATCGTAGGGACAAGAATGTCTTGAAACTTCTTGTCAGCTGTAATGGCAAAGTGGGGAATGGTATCTAACCAGCCTTTCCATTTGCAGGTTGCAGCATCCCAAGCACAATCATAGACTTGACCTTTGTCTGGCGGTGGACAAGACAACTTGACAGTATCTGGTGCGGAAATCAAGGCTCTCAGACTCTGATCGAACTTTGCCCTTCCTATCTCATCAGTTACACAACCTAGTGACCAAATCAGAGAAAGGAGGAATCCGCCATCAATTTTCTTAGCAATTTCTGCCAATTTTTTGAAATTGTCTTCTTCAAAAAGTTCTGACAGATGAGATTTCAGCAATTTGATCAAACTCAATACTAATTCAGAATTCTTGGTGGAAACAGGTTGCTTGCATTCTTTTTTCAGCGTCACAAGTAAAGGAGGAATGAAATAGTTGAACAACTGTTTTATATTAGGCTTGAAGGCATCGAGATGTGTTGGCAGGGACTCAAGCCAAGATTCGAGTATAGACTGCCAATCCAGCATGTGTGGCTCCATCAATACCATTCCGTTTCGACTGACCGTTGCAGGAGAGGCTACCGCCAAGTCTTCGGGCTCAAACATCATAGTCATAGTTGGAGTAAGCTTGATGATCTCACCACTGTTGAGACACAATTTCTTATTGTCATCCATCACTGTATTCATGTTTTCAATCCAAATGGCATCGACAGGTCCATCGAACAAAATCCATTTGCGCTTTACTCTCAGCTCAGGATCAAAGTCCATCTGTGCACATTTTCTGACTAGTGAAGCTCCAATACCCTCCACCCATTCTCGAGTGACTGGATCGAAGTTTCCGTATATCTGATCAATCGTGATTGCTTTGGGGTTCAGACTGAACATGGTAACGTCCTCGTAGTGTTTCTTATCCTTGACGTTGTTCATCCCATACTCAAGAACCTTGAAGACAGTCGTTTTCATCGACATAGCAAGACCAACAACCATCAAACTATGTCGAACTGTTATGGTCTCGTACAACTGAATGCATTTTGCGAGCAAAGTCTCCGTAGGCTGCACATTCAAGAAATGGGTCTTAGATGAGCTGACAGTGAGAGGATTGGGAAGTCTGTCAACCAGTTCTGAGCATGCTTGAACCAATCCTGCCTTCAACATGTCATAGTCAGGTGTCGGGGTTACAATACCAAGGAATAAATCAGATGTAATGCCACGGAATAATGGTAAATCTGCATCTGTAAACTTTGGCAGGTTTACATCATTGATGGCTCGCAACACAATAATATCTTCCTTCTCGTCCAAAAATTGACGCTTCAGTTGCCCAGCAGCAGTAAGAATCGACTTCACTGCTCGCATACCAAAATCGTAATGCACCTGCGAGGATAGCTGTTCGCTTGAGATCTGGAGAGACTTCACCAACTTTCTTGCGAGATCTCTTGCATCTGTGAATCCATAAGAGTACAAGCAAATTTCTGATATCATGGCATAATCAGGAACCATCATTGCACAAGGACGAAACAAAGCTTTCAAATTATCTGGAAGTTCACTTCTCCCGGCATATCCTGGGTTCATTGTGATGAATGAAGAAAATCCTTTCACCAGGGGAATATCGCTTCCCTCAAACACGATGCGGCTCAATCCCCTTCGCAAGCCGTCACTCAAAGTCAAAATCTGTTGAGCAATCACTGAAAGCACTTCTAGATCGATTCGATTGAATTCGTCGAAACAAGCCCATGCGCCACAACTGGCCAAGCCTTTGAAAAACTTGGCCATTGCCAGGTAATCTAGACCGTCCGAACAATTGAAAACAACGCACTGCTTTGCAACAGCCTTGGACAGATCTTTGACAGTTTCTGTCTTCCCAGTACCCGCTGGGCCCTCCGGAGCTCCGCCAAGGCTGAGATGAAGAGCTCCCATCAACGTGCGGTAGCATCGATCGGTTAGAGGCGTGACGACCAAGCGCATGGAGTTCCCGAGGTATTCGTAACTGTAAGGGAGGGTCGCGTTCATCATCTTCGTCAGGATCACATCTTCTCCTTCTAATGGCTCCTCGTAATATCTCAGTTGGGAATTCCAGTCAAATTCATGGATAGAAGAAACACCATTCGTCACCAGAGTGCTGGTTACATCTTTGTTGTGCACGTCGAGAACCACCATGGCACCAACAATAAGCCGGGCTTGCTTGGACATGTCACCCCGAACGAGCTCAACAATCTCTGTAAGTTCCTGAATCATCTTGGTTTCAACTTCCTTCACACCGTTCTTGCCTTGTGAAATCATCGCAGATTCAATGTCCTTTGTCCAATATAGACAGTCAACGGCTAGCACAATCATACCAGTCATTTCCTGAACAAATGATGTACGTACTGCATTGGCGTATTCAGCAATAGCACTTCTTCCTATGTTCTTCAAGGACTTCCTCATTGAAGACTCTAACTCCAGCAGCCATCTTTCAACGTTGCCCCTATTTCTTTCCGCATCTGGCTGTACGGGACATTCAGAAGTAAGTTGAACCACTTCACCTTCGCCAGAAATGATTGAGATAATATCCAGCATTGCTCCTCCTTCAGCTTGTTCGACCTCTGTCTTGCCTTTCATTTCAACACCACATATTGCTTCGAAAATCTTTGGAAGATGCGGTACGACTCTTCGTGGATCTTTGGTTTCTGACAAGATATCCAAAAGTTCATCATTGCTGAGAAAGTAAAACCTGGGAAACGCACTTCTCTTCGTTTCAAGGTAATCATTCAATCCTTTTTGGACAATATCTAACGTCTTGTTTGCGTCTATGAAATGATTCTTTAGATTGTCAATATTCATTACTTGCAAGACTGCAGGCGCTTCCGCACCAGCTTGCATGGTCTGCCGCCAGAGCTGGTCCACCTTTTGAAATCGACGACCCTCCGTTGGCATCTGTCTCATGATGTCTGGCGAGGCGAAAATCGGTTCCAGATACAACCATGTCTTTTGAAACTTAATCCATTCTTCTAAAACGTCTTGCATGTATACCAAACGATTGCTCCATTCAATCACAACAGCTTCAAGTGGCTTAGCATAAGGGGATCCACGCATGGATTGAACTTTGACGATTTGATCATCCAAAAGCATGACTGTTTCTTCAATTCCTTTCAGAACGTAAGTGCCAGTGTCTTTGTAGGGAGAGAATTCAAATTCTAAATCTTTCCATTCAGTTTTCATCTTGTCCAATGCTCTCTCAAATCCATACTCTTTGGCAGCCTGTTCTGACAAAGTTACCACAAATTGCTCGTGTTTGTCTATTTCCATTTCAAGCAAAAACTTCAAAGTCAGAGATACGTCTGGAACAATCTCCTTCCCAACTTCTTGGCTCAATTTAGTCCAATGCCTTTCTCTCATTCCCGGGTTGCGGAGTGCAGCAATTAGAGGAAGATATGGTCGGAAGTTCTCTAGTTTTTCTCTGAGAAGGGCAGCAACGGACTGGGGTTCAGGCTTGCCTTCGAATATTTTCTCTGCCTTGACAGAAAATTTCCACCAAGAATTGACATTCATTTCAATGCTCTCAGCATCAAGTTGGTTGAATGAGCCATACATCCAATTCGGAAATCCTTTTTGGAAGTCTGCTGAGATGGACCACAATTCTGCATATGGTTTGAACGTAGATGACAGGTTGTCTATTTCGAGGTAACTTGTCTGTGAATATTCAAACAATTTCTCACGAGAATTTATCAGTTCAGCTGTCTCTTTAGCTTCAATCAACCTTTGATTCAACAACATAACTTGACCAGCATACTCTTCAGCTTGTTCCAAGTCATTGTAAGAGAAAAATCGATTAATGTCCGCCTCAATTGACAAAAGATCCTTCTGGAATTCAACCTTAGTGTTTTCCAGCTTGGTCTTGAATTTAAAGCTTTCGTCTTCATGTCGTGGCACGGCATCTTTTCTGGTCTGATTTAGAACCTTTGGCTGCTTGAAGGCATTCCAATACAGAGCAAGATCTTCAGAGTCGACATCGTATGCAAATAATTCTAACACATCGAGCTTTTCTCTTGCTCTTGAGATCTCAACGGTGAGTTCATGCATCTCTGCTTCACACGTTATCACATACTCCTGCAATTTCGCCAGCTGCTCAGGATTCTCGGGAGTCTCCTGGAGTTTGGATAGGATCTTCTCAAATGCATCGACCATGGATGTGTTCTGTTCGTGTGCTTCATATGCCACATCATTAAGCATTGACATCTTAAGCTTTTCAGCCTTTGCCTCTAGCTCCAATATAGTCTTGGAGTTAGAGACTTCATACATCCTCAAAATCATCAGGTTTGGTATCCGTCGCTGAACTTCATGACAGGCTTGCATGAATCTATGAATCTCAGCTTTGGTTTCACTCAAAGGATGTCCAGATTCCTTCCACTTGACCACATGTTCATCCACGTCGGTGACAATAAGATGATCATAAACATTGAACTCATTGAGTAAAGCTTGCGGAGCAAAGCAATTATCTGTGATACACCGCTTCACCCGATCTATCGATTCTTTGATGAAATTCTCAAAGTCAATGCCCACGCATGGTTCCAAAGCAGTCTTGGAGGATTTCGCACCGATGACTTCTACCCCAAAGGATGGTATCGTCTTTGTAGCTTCCACCAGCTCTTGCACCACAGAAACAGCTATTCTCTGAATTTCCTCAAGCGGAGGATCGATCGTTAAGGATCCGTTTGAATAATTCACAGAAATGCAGAAGAGCGGAGAGCGCTGTGAACGAATTCCGAATGACAGATCTGAAGGGAGAGTTTCCGGTTCCCCAAAGAATGTTTGATGATTGCCTTCAGATGTCAAGTTCTCGTCCTTCATCGGTCGAATAAAGCTTTCAAGAATTCTCACATAAGTCTGAATGTCTTCATACACCGAGTTTCTGATCGCGTCTTTCAGCATTTGATTTCCAAGTTGCACGATTCTTGTATATTTCACTTTTTGCTCAGCAGAGAGAGATTGCCCAATTGTTGCTTCCTCAGTGCTGTACGCTTGTAACAGCGAGTCTATCATGGACTCCATCATGGACGAAGTGACTTCCTCAATCGCATGACTCCAAGTGTCCTTTTGTCGTTTCAAGAATGCATCTATTTTCATGGGTTCATTGCTGAATGATAGAAACCGAACATTCTCAGCCTTGGTGATTTGACTTTGAAATGCAAACAAAGATAATAACAAGTGAGATGCAGCCCAAGGCAGACCAGCCTCTACCTTTTGCACAACACGTCGGAAATTTGATTGCTCATGTTCCTTTTCATAGACAACCTCAAGATCTTCTGAGAGTTTTGTCGATAACGGTACTGTACATATGACTCCCTGGCCTGGAATTCGAAGAATCGTTGCAGGCAAGTCCTCTTGACCATGCATTTCCACTGGGTCTAGAATTTCATTGGCGTTCTTGCTGGGTTCTATGTGGTTGAGCACCAACTTGTTCATGGTCCTGCAAAAGTGGAACAGCACCTCCTCGACGAGGTCGAAGTTTCTCTTCAGCCGATCTGTTGATATATCTAAGCCTATTCTCTGTACAATAGCATGAAACTGCTCTGGCATCAGTTGGAGTTGATGTTCAATTTCCATAGAGTCTATCAGTCGCTCGTATCGCAGCATGGCTTCAATTCTGGTGCGACTGTCAAGAGCCTGCTGCCTTCGCCGTACATGCCGTTGAAGATCTTCATCTTTGAAACATAGATTCAACCTGCTTACTTTTTTGGTCTTTTCATTGTTGAGCCACTTGACAAGAAACATCTTTTCCGATTCGATCCAACACAAAGTCAGCACCTCTCGCCACTCACACGTCCCATCACCAAAGTGCCAGAGGGATAATGCTGGTTTCGGATTGTCAGGTTGAATACTTTTGAACATGGATGGATCCATCGTTTCATAAGTCATGTCATCAAAGTATTCTAGAGGGAAAAACGATGGGTTACTAATTGCTTCTTCGTATGCTGGTTTTCTTCTGGATGCCTCCAAGGATAGAAGGTTTCTTTGGATAGCCAGCATAATCTCTGAAATATTAGTTGAAGTCTTTGACACTATTTTTGCGTCTGTGAGATGTAGCGAGTCATGAGAGGAACTTGCAACGCCCTGGATGGAAGGATTTCGGAATGTAAAGTGAGAACTTTTTTCGTTATTTGCTTCACTCGTTGATCTGTATGAGTGCTTGGATTCTTTTTTCGAGGTGACAATTTTTGAGTGTGGCGCTCGCACAACATTTTGTTGAGCTGAAACACAAAAGTCAAGATGATTGCCTGGAACTCAATTTTAAGCACCTCCAGTTGAATTATTCTTCGTTCCGACCCATTGCTTGAATTGCTACAATCCTCGAATCACAACACAAACATAAGGAATTCGAACAGCACCTGTGAAGTTTTCTTGCTAAGATGCTCTCCTTCATTCTCCTTTGGAACATGGATGACCACATTCCATTCTCCCGGCTTGGGCACGTTCTTCAGATCTCGAGCCTATTCAAATCCCTCAGCATATTCTTCTCCACATGATTCACTTCAAGCACCTTGAGGTTGATTTCCTTCACATTTTCCTCCTCGTACTGTGTGAAGCGCTCGTAAGCTTGCTCTAGCCGCGCATTGGACGCGCTCCTGTGTGCCATAGCGGCAGGAGGCGGTTAGCGCGATTCTTCACTCAACCCACTTGCACCCCACCCCCTGCCCCAGACTGCGGAGCCTATCACTGACGTCCCCCTGATCCTCTTACATCTCAAAAACTCCTTTCTTAGCACTAATGAAATAAGGCATAGTACCTACCCTGAAGCTCAAAGATCTTATAGTCGATCACTTGAAGCCTAGTTCCTTGCCAACTGTTGGCCCTACCTCAACGACCGTAGTCAGAGAGCGCGGGCCCTCATCCCCTCATCCCCTCATCCCCTCATCCCCTCATCCCTTCATCCCCTCATCCCGGGGCCCCCCACTGAACCGGCCCCGCCGTACCGCCGGGACGCTCCCGGACAGTCAAGAGTCGGTGCCCGATCGGACGGCGAGGCCCGGCCTCGCTCCGGCAGGCCCCTGCTTTAGCAACTCAGTCGTTCTGAGTGCAAGGTTTAACCGAACTTCAAGCCGACTCTCAGACGGTGGATGACCGATTGTCACCCTGGCTCAGCCTGCGTGATCATCAGGCCCACCGTGGCCGCACGCGCTGCGGTCGGAGCGGCTTGCGGGACTCGAATAATCACACGTGGCGACAGCCCGGCACTGCTAGGCTGAGGCAGGTCGGACTCGGGGGAGTAGTACGTCACGGGTGACTCAATTGGAGTAAACATTGAGTTTTACTGCTCGTGGGTGTTGCAGGACTCATGCAGAACTTAGAGTCCAGTAGCATACTGCTCATCGCCGACGCTGAGACGTCACTGAAGGCTTTTCTTCTTCCAAGTTGTCAATGAAAATGAATGGATTTGCTGTGAAGTAGTCCACCAATCTTTGAAATCGCTTTGGCTTTGGCCCAGCGGTTTCCAGCTTGTACACCTTAATTCAGGTTAGGCACGATGTAACAGCGAAGCATGACAATGAATCACTTCAAGCATTTCGTTGAGGGCAAGATCAAAAGCAACTATTTTCCTTTCCTGTAGTTCTGCAGCGTACTATGGCAAAGTAGTCAAATTTCTTGGAAAGTGGCAGAGCAGAGGTACTCACAATCTCTTCAAGTAACTGTATTCGAGCACTTCGAGGCGCTATAAGTTTTCCCTGTTTCAAACAATTATTCAACCAGCCTGGTTCGAACGAAATAAATCAAATCTGCTGTTTCGAACCTCAACCCACTTCTTGCGTGCTGGCACTGCAAGTTCTTTGAAAATGGCGATGTCACTCATGGTCTCGATGACCTCCCTTCAATCAAACAGATCATCAACAGCAATAGATATTCGCTAATTTCACCTTGCAGAGACTGCCCATCGTCCGAAGGCATAACCATCTTCACCGTCTTGATCAAACCTTTCTCCCTCCTTGAGCCATGCCTGGGCATTTCTGCTTTTGAGGACAGCAAAGCATAAGATCGCTTGTCACCTCTTCTAAACGTCTTTCCAGTTCGTATCGACTGCCTTTGATCCCAATCCTTCTGCTCTGCAGCTCCTGTATAACACAGTATCATTGGAACTAGATTGTGAACATGCCGGAAACTCAACCTCCCGGATCTCTTCCGTGGACATCTGACTGGGCAGTCGCGTGTGCTTCCCCGACATCAGCACACTTCCCTTCCTCTCGAGACTGTGCAAGATTTTGATCTTGTGTGCCATTTCTGAGCGCGAAAGCTGAAGAGCATCATGTGAGGTTTCGACTTGTGCGTTACAAGCATACTTTAGCATCCCCCTTGCAGGATACTCCCCATTCTTCCAATTTACGAATTTGATCCTTGTTCCACAACTGTGACACAAAGTCATTCCAAGCATGGCAGAACAGATGGTTCCACTTGATTGTACCTCGTTGACCATCTTTTGCATCGACTTCTTGGTTGCATTATGCACGTCGACATGGGAGAGTGACTTGTCTTCTTCTTTGCGGCAAGAGAGTTCTACCCTTAAAGATTCTGACAAGTAGGAGTGTAACAATTATCGCAGACATGCTTATCAAGAGCGTCCATACCTTCATCCATGTGTTTAGCGTCCAGATCTGCATTGGCAGCTACGGGTCTACGTCGTCTCGGCGGTGAGAAGGCATCGAACTCGTGCAAGATCGGCGCGCCGAACGAAAGTCTCTTCTTCTCTTTCTTTTCAGCGGACTTTGGTTTCTTCTGAGGAGTGAGCAAGGACAAGAACTTTGTTATCTTTCCAGGCTTCTTGCTCGGGGATTTCGACTTTGGCGGAGAAGGCGATGGGGATCGTTTCCTTTTCTTACCTTGACTGGATGGTGACATGTGTCCGCTAACCTGAATGAAAAACTAACGTTCACACGTGTACAACAAGCACGTGTACAACAGGCACGTGTACAACAAGAATCTGTTTCATGCACTACATTTCTCGGATTAATTGGTGCAAACCTCGATCAGCGCATCAGATCTCTCACTGCCAACAAACTGGGATGCGAAAATTCAAATTCAAATGTCTCCGACACACCGTCCTCCTTGGCATCTCACTGTAAGGCCGTGCAGGTCCAGGAGATCACAACCAACCACCTCACACCTTCCCACATCCTCAATGAAGTTTCTTCATCGTCCTCAAATGCTCTTCCTATCCTATCGATGTGCTCTCGTGGGCATGCGGCATGGTCTAGGGAAGCTTGTCATACCGGTGGTAGGAAGGGTCACAGTACCGCTATGGTAGATAAATCACTAGTACAAAATAAGATCAACAATATGTACATGTAGATACAAATCAATAAATAATAACTTTAGAATATGTTATAATTTGTGAATCGTGGTACAAGATCACTTTTATGTCCAGAAAAGAAATATTTAAAAAGTTTTTGTAAATCTGGTACAGGGGATAACTTGTATGAAGGTCTAAATGCTGGTCTAAATGTGCTACTGTGAAAGCTGAGGCGGACCAACCAAAGATATAGAGCTAAACATGTGAATATATTTATTATACTTTAAAAACAGTTATAAAGTCGATGGAACACCGGAAAGCTGTTGCGCAGCCAGCGCCATCTTCTCTTCATGCATGCAAGTTGTCTGATGCTTGCGTTTTGTATCCACCCCAGATCCCACTCACACCATCGCACACATTCATGTATGTTTCATCATTCTCGACTGCCTGAGACCCATATCACACCCCTTCTTCTCGATTATGTACCTGCACACTTCACGTCGTCAGGCAATCAGACTTTTCTTTTGTGGATTATCATCTGTGACTTTCCTATATGAATTGTTGTTCTGATGCAAAAGCTATACTGCTCTTTTCCTTCCCTGTATGAGATACTTTCGCTTCCTCCGACGCATGTAGCCGTGTTGTTTGACAACCATGCATAGTTGATTGAATTTTTCTGTCCTGGCTTTGTCTTCTGTGTCATTTATCCCTTCATAAAGCCTTGTCTCACACGTTTGTCACCTTTCCTCCCGGCATTGCACTGTCGTGTGAACTAAGATCGGATAAGAAGTGCGAACGGTAGTGAGTTACAGAAGCATGATGTAACGAAATGACAAAGTTCCATGGATCAGAATGAAAACAGCTCGAAAAGCACACACGAACGCCTCACATACATACACCCTGATCATTTGGCATGAATATGAACATTTTGCACAGACCAGCCTGCTGCAATGGCAGCTGCGAACAAGAATCATATACGAAACGGGGAGCAAGCTTTCCAGAAGATGGACAAGATCAATGCAGAGCTATTTACCCTGACGTACGGCAGTATGGTACAACAACTGTTGAAGGACTACGAGGACCCGAATGAAGTGAACATCCAGTTAGACAAGATGTAAACAAGATTGTATAACTTATTTTCGATTTGATGTCTTGTGCTCAGGGGCTTTGGGATCGGGCAAAGGTTGATCGATGAGTTGCTGGCTAAGAGCAATGTCGGGCAGTGTTCTGACTTCCGTGAGACGGCTGAGGTCCTAGCCAAGGTTGGGTTCAAGATGTTCCTTGGGGTCACTGGCAACGTGAGACCTGTCAGGCTGCTAGCGTTCTCTTGATGTCTGTCTGTCAGATCTCCAACTGGAACCAGGAGGATACGGAGTTCAGCCTCCTCCTCGATGACAACCCTCTGGTGGACTTTGTGGAAATCCCGGATGACCTGAAGGAGCTCAAGTACTTGGCTTGACAAGCGCTGTCTGTGGTTGTGTCATGCTCTTCGCAGATACTGTAACATTCTGTGTGGGGTGATTCGTGGAGCGTTGGAGATGGTGAACCTGCGAGTGGAGTGCGAGTACACGAAATGTACGCTGTGGGGAGACGACTGTATGGAGATCAGAGTCCGCCTGTGAGAATTTGTGCCGTTTGATGCTGTGCTCCTGACTTCGGTTTGCGACACCAGGTTGGAAAAGCTTGAAGACAAATATCCATTCGATGATGATGACTAGATGTTTAATTCTTTCTTAGCGCATCCCCTCTGCGATGCGACGTGTATGTTTTATTCTAACTTCGATCCGTGGTATCGAGATTATGGAAACTCATAGTCTGGGACCCCCTCGATTCTCATTCCATCTCATCTGCGATCAGCTCTTGCTCGTAAACTTGTCCATACTGAAAGTCAAGACCCAGCTCCTTGCAGAATTTCTCCACCACAAACTTCTCCTGTGGCTCGCAGAGCACAATCGAGGTCCCCTCAGCCCCTCCTCTCGCCGTCCTCCCTGCTCGATGAACGTAGTGGTTCGCATCGGTGGGGAGGTCAAGGCTGACAACGTGGCTGAGGCCGGGGATATCGATCCCTCTCGCTGCGATCTCAGTCGCCACCACCAGCGGCACCTCCCCGAGCGTCCCCTCGCGCAATCGTCGCATCACCTCCTTTCTGTCCTCCTTGGACTCATCGCCCTTGAGGGGGGCAGCGATCAGGCCGTTCTCGAAGAGCTTGTCGCAAATGATGTCTACCCTCCTCTGATCGTTGACGAAGACAAGCAGCCCTGTCATACCGTTGAGGTTGAAGATCTTCTTCACCAGCGCGATCTTCTTCACGCGGGGGGTCACAATTACACAATGTCTGAGCTGGGGGGGGAGCCGGAGCCCTGCAAGGTCCAGCAAGAGAGGCTCCTTCCTGAAGCTCGACTGCGCTAGCGACTTGACGTTGTTCACGTTGCCCGTGGCGCTGGCGAAGATGGTCTGACGGGCAGGAGAGGAGCAAGCTTGGAGGATCAGATTGAGGTCAGACTGCATGGCCTTCTTCAGGCACTGGTCCACCTCGTCCACGATGAGATACTTCACCCCCTGCAGTCTTATCTTGGCGCCCATCTTCGACGCGAGCTCAACGATGCGTCCTGGTGTGCCTACAAGGATGTGGGGCCGGCTGTTACGGATGGCCTCGATCTGGCGCTGAATGTTCGCTCCTCCGATAGCTTGAGTGGCGAACAGTTCTGTTCCAACGATCACTGACTGCACAACCCTGAGAATCTGGATGGCTAGCTCTCTGCTCGGAGCGACGATGAGGAAGGAGGGGCCCTTGCGGTCAAGGGAGTCGAGCTGTGCGAGGAGCTTCTGGACGATGGGGAGGACGAAGGCGAGAGTCTTTCCGCTGCCGGTGTAGGCGCTCAGAATGATGTCAGACCCCTCTAGGATCCTGGGGAAGGAAGACTTCTGCACAGGAGTTGGAGTGAAGAATCCGTTAGCGTTGAGGTTGTCAAGAAGAGCCTTTGAGGTCAACCCCAGCTCCTCGAACTGCGCGCGGGAGTTGGAGTTGTCGACAACAATCCGCTGCACGTTCGCCGTCGAGTCTTTCTCCTCCTTGGCCAGTAGCCCACGTGCCCGGAAGAACTCAATGTCTTCCTCGTCTAGCTCGTCCAGTCTCTCTTGGATCGGCTTCTCCTGGCGAGCAGGCGCCGGTTTCGCCTGCTATGTCAGGTGAGCAAATTGTTTTGTGCCGGGGAGGAGGAACAGGTGCAAAAGGATGCCGAGGGAGGAGGGAGGAGGGAGGAGGGAGGAGGGAGGAAGTGTTGGCGGGCAGAAAAGACAGCCATGGAAACATGACAAGGACGCACATCTTGCGGTCGATCTCTTGAAGCAGAAGCTTTCTGCGTGACGACGAAATCGTCGTTGGTTGTCTCAACGTTGGCAGAAGGAGGATTAGGAGCCTCCTTCACAACCTCGCTGAGCCTGACGCAGTTCAGCGATGTACCACAAGGACAAGTTATGTTCGATCCTACCTTGCCTTCTTCCAAGCTTCAAATGAGTTTTCGACCTTCTCCATGCTTTCCTCCTGGAAAATGCTTCAAAGAAAGCCAGTAGGGTTATCAATGAAAAAGATGCAAGAAAACGAAACAAAAATGATTGACAGGGAATGGACAATGACACAGAGCAGGGTTGTAAACAGAAACCAAAATCATCGCGGAAAATATTAGGAGTGTATCAAACAACTCACATCCTCCAGCTTAGACTGAAGAAGCGCAGGCACTGCTTTAATTCCATTGTATGAAGTCTCAGGCTTGTTCTTCGCCTTCTGCAGAGAAAGTCATGTCCTCGACAAGTGGGTGGTTACCTTGTACCCCCACCTTGGGCACATCAACTTCATTTTCAGCATCTTGCGACACTCTCTGCTCTGTTGGCTTCTCTTTCTTACGAGGCTGCACGATTCGAAAGAAAAGAAACATCACTATCTTTCTTTCATCATCGAACAAAGAAGACTGACGTTTACATCACTCTTCTTCACTTCCAACGATGCACGCTCACTCCCTGCCTCTGGTTTGTCAACATCGTCCTGCTCGAACTCATCTTCATCGCTGTATTTCTTCTTGGAGATCTGCAAATATTGAATGTGAAACAAAGGTCATTGCTGTACTCGACAAAAGCTCAGTAGAGCAGACAAAGTTGCAGGTGGTGGGGGGAAAGGCAGAGGAGGAGTTGGAAGAAAGGACACTAGAGGAGGAGGAAGTGGGAAGGGAAGGTTATGAAGTGGCAAGCACAGGAAGGGCAAGAAATAAATGAGGTGCAAGTGATACTACTACCCTCACCTTTTCTGCCACAAGAGCCTCAACCTGATCTGCGTCCAAGTCCTGGCAAACCAACTGTAAGGTGCCTCCTCCATACCCCGAGTCAGAACCTTCAGCTCTTGTTTTCTCCTCCTCAGATAGGCTTCGAGCTTCGCCTGGCTGAATCCATCATCCATCATCTAGCAAGAAGCCTCAGATGTCAGCGAGCAAGGATGGAAGGCTGTCTTCCTTGCCTTTTTCTTCTCCTGTTGCATCGCCTCCTTCCTAACATCTTTGCGGATCTCGTCGAAGAGGCCCTTGGGTTTCGGTTTCGTCTTAAAGACTCGTCCTTTCTTCGGATCCTCCCCGGGTCTTCTGCCTGCAAGGGCCCGCACGCTACATACATGCTCCCGGACATGAAGCCGCACCAGGCTTCCGATGGAATTCTGGGAGAAGGCCATTCCTCCTGGTCGACCGCTTGCGTCATGAACTCTGAAGAAGGGGGAAGGAGAAGAGGCTGGTGAGGAGAGAGACGTCAGGGACAGAGGGAAGGAGGAGGAGGCTGGTGAGGTGGGGGCAAGAGCCGCCAACGTAGTAACTTGCAGCACCAAAAATCTCGCCAGCATGCCGGGCTAGGGGATTTGGCCGATTTTGGTGGGTGGGTGATTGATTGGGGGTAGGGGTGATCAAAGAAAGTCAAAGTAGAGCAGTTGTGGTACATTTACATGTATACAAATTGGAAATATTCGAGGTTGTATGCCACTGCCATCGAAATCTTTCTAAGGGGGGTGCATACTTGAAATGGGGTAGGGTACCGGTCGGTGGGGTGAAGGAGAGATCGGGGGCCGGAGGTTCAATGAAGAAATGCGACCGCGAGAGGGTAGATAAGGCGAGAGCAGAAGACGGCAGGGGGGGAGAGGAGGAGAGGAGGAGAGGAGGAGAGGAGGAGAGGAGGAGAGGAGGAGAGAGAGAGAAGTTACGATGAGAGGATATCACCGGACAGGAAAAGGAGAGAAGATGTGGCGGTGTGCAATCTTGAACAAGTGTAAACTAACAACAGACCGGTCGGATACAAACATAGCTTTAAACTTTGCAAGGACGATTGAGGATCAGAAAGAGAAAAATCAAGCATACTCAACTAGAATGAATTCAAAGATCAAACAAAAGGAGGTATTCCAAATGCAGAATCCATCATAGGAAGGTTATATCTGACCAGCACCAGGGGAGCTGAAGAAAAAAAAAGTAGATACAGCTTCACCAGCTAGTTCTTGAAGATGCGGCAGAGAAGTATGAGCTGTTTGTGCTAGTTTCCTTATGAGCTTGTTGCTCGTCGTGAGCTCGATCCTATCCGAGTATCCTCTCCTTGGTGTTTGATAGGGCATTGCCACTCAACCAGACGCAACGAGCATGGCAGGACATAATTGAGGTGTTGAAAACTGGACGTCAAACCGACGGCAGAATTGAAAACATATGATAGAAAGGCGGAGGAAGAAAACCCTTGAGATGAGAAATTCCATGTTGAACAAATGAACATTTGGGAGCAACTTTTAATACATTGCATCTCAACATTCTCTTCTTCTGAGATTTGCCTGATACTTCTCCGGATGAATTGATGCAGGCACTTCATGAGATAAGCCATGCCTGTAAAACGTTTGCTTGATGCCCTATCAAATTTTGCTCCTTGCAGTTTCTTGAAAGCAGGTATCCCTTTTGCATGGTTGCCAAAGCGATACAGCTCCCATGCACTTCTGAAACAGTTTGCTTCTTGAGAAATTCGAATCGTTTTGAGATTCGCGTTGTGACTCGATGGACAGAAGTATCACGAGCAACTGACGAATCGCCATTGACACATTCTGTACTCACTCATTGACCTCCTGCTCACGTCTCCGAGGTTACGCTCCTGTTCATGGTGTCCCTCGCAACTGCTTCAGCATGCCCGTGATTGCGTCATGGTTGTCTGAAACCCAACCTTCCGTTTCACTTCATCTATTTGCAAAATGACCTCCAACAAACATTGGCTTCACTGTTCGTGATGAATTGCATGCTGACCTTGATCCTCTGCGTTTTTACCAGTGACTTTCATGCCATTACACATCATTGAAGCAATTTCGCCATCACAGGCTACTTCGCGGTTTTTATTGACGGAAATGACACAAGGCAAACCGAAGCAAACGAAGTAGAAGAGGATAATCCCGACAAACTCGCATCGACAGAATACTAGAAAAAGGAGGAGGCAGCGAAAACCGCTACTCCAACCACGCAAGCGACGGCATGCACGACAAGCAGGGGCCAGGACAAAGAGCAGAGCGAGGACGGCAAATGGTTTGATCTGAGGCAGGCTTAGTGGTGTGCAGGGCAGACCCTAACGATGCTTGTGTCCTGCATCTGTCAAACACTTGGCGGTAGGCCCGGAGAGTCTTTCTCACCGCAATGCGCTCGAACGGTCCGACGGGTGTGGGGCGAGACTGAGAGCGGCGGATGAGAAGCTGCTGAAGGGAGCGAGGAGAGAGACTGAGAGCCTGACGGAGATCTTGATGAACGAGAGGGGAAGAGCCGGAGATTTTCTGAACAAGGTCCGGCAAGGACGATAGGTTGCATCCAAGGACATTCGTAACCGCCGCTGACTTGCTTCGTCGTCGAGAGCATCACGATCAGAGTCCAGCGGGTTGAGTGAGACTTGAGCTGCAACAGATGATACCTCCCAACAAGTCGTTGGTGAAATATGATAACCCGGTCCTCCTAGCCAACGCTAGCAAGTCGAAATCGTCTCAGGCCAAGTCTGATGCGGCGGGGTCTCCATCAAAGAACGAGAAGTCGCACTCGCTGTATCAGCCGGAAGAGATTCTGAATGCAATCATTCCTCCCAGGTGTTCATCACTCAGCACCCAGACATTGGTTGTTGCCCACGTAACATGAAATGCAGGGAATGGAACGAAGGCGGTCAAGTATGGGTTCAACATGTGTCAAGTTCGCCTGCTACGCGTCTGGATGTTGTCAACTTGCAGGTGAGTAGAGGCCAGGAGTGTCGTTGGATGTTGGATGATGCCGTGCAGGAATTGTTGGATAACAAGCTGCAACAACGAAAAGCGCGAGAGACGGGGATCTGTCCTGTGCGAGAAGAGCTGTACAAGGAGACTTTCGATGAGATCATCCGACAGGTTGGTCGACGAGCAGAGAAGGGGGAAGGAGGAGAGGACCTGACGATCTCTCAGGTGACGGTCAACTGCGCCGAGCGAGGGCTGCTGATGATCAGAGTGCGAGATGAGATTCAGATGACTCGGTCGGCCTATCAGACTCTTTACGAAAGCAGGTTTCTCGAGTTGCTGTTGGAGAGGCGTCTGCGTGACATGTGGTACCAGCATTGCTTTTGGCATCCGAAAGGTCCTGCAAGCCAAGCAGAATCGAACTGCGATGAGGAGGACGATAGAGCGGCTCTTGGAGAATAACGAGACCCTCCGAGAAGAGATCAGCATGCTCAAGGTTCTTTCGGCTTCAAGAATACTTGCCTGCACTCTCACAATTTACTGTGCGGCCGCAGCAAAAAGCGACATCGATCGAGAAGAACTCTAACAAGCTAAGAGAGGTAAAGAGCGCCTGGTGTGAGGCTTGACCTGACGCTCCTGCAGCAAGAGAAAGGCAAACATCTTGATGAGGTCGCAGCGCTCAAGTCGGAATACTCCGATCGCAAGAAGCAACTAGAGATACAGATCGGCCTCGTGCAAGCTCCTCCAGCTGCTGACAGCAAGAAGCAGAGCGACGAGACCAAGTGAGGGCTCTCCTCTGAGATGTACATCCATCGGATTCGAGCTTGCCGATTTCAAAATCGAACAACGAAAGAAGTAAATAAACTTGAAATGCAAACATGTCCGCCTCTCGATGTCCTTCTGAGACCTGATTGAACAACCGAAGTTGTCCAGAATGTCTTGTGGCGGGATACAGGAACATCAATCTGACGGGTGCACAGGCTTCAAAATCAGTGAAGTAACGGATCCGCTAGTCTTCCCTTTCTATTGAGATGCGTTGCCTGACCTTCATCAGGCTCTCTCCTAGAACATTCAAGCATCCAGTCTTCCAGTTCTTGGGGTCTCTCGCTAGATCCTCGCCAACTCCAACACCCCAGACTGCATCGTCGGGTGATGCTTCGGCTAGATGAAGCTCGTTGGTGCATAGAAGAACTTCTTTGAGAAGCTTCGAGCTGGTGAACTTGGAGTAGAGCAGCTGCACTGCTATAAAGTCTCTGACGGACCCCCACGCGGTAGGGTTGAAGTCTTTCACTGATCGACCCAACTGCTTGCACTTCCTGGGGTTCCCGCTGTTTGCGAGGATTTGCTTTGCCAAATCGTGGTTTTGATCCTTGATCCTCTGCGACGAAGAGCTCTTGTATGCCTCCACTCCAGCCCTCGCAAACATCCCTTGCTCGCCATTCCACGGCAATATTGACTGCATGCCGAAGAGATCCGCTTTGGCGAGCATGATGCCGGCCTCGGAAGTCTGAAGTTGCACACCCTCGAACTGGAAGGGCTCGGCATGCACGTAGAAGTTACTGAAGGAGCCGAAGGGGATGGAGGGAGAGCTGTCGTAGAAGGGAAGGATGCATGCTCTGTCCCCCATCCACTGGACGGACATGCGGCCATGCCGAGGGTGGTGGATCACTACATAGGGCTCGCGCTCCTGCTGCGCCATTGCGACCGCAGGGGTATCATTGCATGCCCGCCTCAGAGGCCTTGGGTTATGCAGATGACGCGATCGGGCTGCGGGCGAGATGGAGGAGGAGGGAAGGAGAAGCGAATGCTGGGGTGATGGAGAGCCTTGATCTCGAAGAAGACATATGCCACTGATCTGATTCAACATGAAACCCTTCCTCTCTCTCAATGCTCCCCTCCTCGTGCTTGCTCTGCTCATAGCCTGCCACATACGCGGCGGCTCTAGCAGGAGAGTGAGTGAGGTGCGCAATGTCGATGCCATGGAGCCATCGGAGTCTGAGAAGGTCGAGCCTCTTCTACTATGTGATAGAAAAGTTGTCTGATTCATTCTCTGTCAAGATCTCGTACGCTGCTCAGCAAGCCGCCGCTGCAAACGTCGCCAAAGGATCATGGCAGCCGAAGCAGGTTCTCCTTCACGAGAAGCTTGTGTTGTCTTCCTCCCCCCTCCCCCTCCACTCTTTGCTCTCTCCCTCTCCCTCCTTTCCTCTCTTGTCCTTATGACTAGACTGATAGACCTCTGGGCAGACGAGGTTCTCGGAGAGGATCGAGGGACCCCCTCCCTCTCGCTGCGTCAACGGGTGCGTCTCAAAATGTGTGCCTGAGTGCATGGGAAACCCGAACACGGACAGCCTGTGCACTGAAGACTGTGAGAAGTAGGACAAGCACAGCTGAGCTCCGTCCTCTTGCGGCTGACAGGTTGCTTCCAGGTACTGCAAGAGGGATTGCATGCTCCGACCCAACTCCGAGTACCCAGGAGCAGAGAAGAAGGTCAAAGTCAAGTTTCTCCCACCCATACAACTCATGAGCTCCAGCAACGGTGACATAGATCCATGCTCTCCTTGTGACTCCCCCGCTCACCACAACTTCCTCCTCAGCTGTCCTCCCACATCAATCGCCCAAGATGGACAGCTTGGCGCTGGGCCCAACCGAGTGCGAGCCTCACTGCAACTTTGAGTGCAACACTGAGTGTGAGAGGAAGTACGAGTTTCCATGGAAGGTTGTAGACATCCACTCTCCTCCCTCCCTCCCTCCCTCCCTCCCTCGCCTCCTCCCTCCCTCCCTTCTCACTCCCTCGCCTCCTCCCCACCCTCCCCTCACTTCATCGCTCGCTTCCTCTGACGCAGTTCCCCTCCTCAGTGCCCAGCAGAGTGCAAGAGAGACTGTGCGGACTACTGCAAGCCTCTCACCACCGGCCGGTTGAACAATGGCGAGTCACTTCACCGTTGCGTGCGTTCTCTGAAGGCTGAGCAGGAGACAAGCTCGTGCGAGAGGATGAGGACAGTCTGAGGCGGGTCCTCAGGTCGACAGAACGGCAGCTTCCCCCCAAGCTTGTGGTGCCATCAGGGAATATTGCTCTCCGATGGCTCTCGGGTATGTTGACTGCCATTGGGAGTGACACAACTCACATACTTGTCAGTCACATTCACGGTTTTGTGTTTGCTGACCATTCTTCTTATTCTTTATCGGTTGTACGGTATCGCTCCCTCCTCTCTTCTCACCAACACAACACCTGACAACCAGCAAACAGGAGGGAAAACTTATGTAGCAATGTATTCTAAAGACAAAGCATGAAGTCAGTGAGTCTTATTAGTGATGCTTACAGTACAATAACAGCGTGCCAGGAACTAAAGATTTTTCACGACCTTCGAGTCCATGAAATTTCAACCTTTTCACGCCTTCGATTTCTCTAAGTCCGTCATGAGCTCATTGCAGATGGCTGTTAACTGTTGGTTCTCGGAAACTTTCAAGTCCAGCTCGTTCTTAAGCGCCTTCTTCTCCATCTCCGCCTTCTGCATCTGAACGCGCAGAAGCTTGATCTCCTTCTCGCTGCAGTCAGACGCCAGCAGGGCCCAACCCTCGTCTCACCTTCTCAAGATCCCCACCTCCCGCTTTCGACTGCTGCGAGGCTGCGGTCTTCAACTCGAGGTTCTCAGCCTGGGCAGGCAAGGGGTCAGGACAGAGGAGGAGCAACAAGACACCTACCTCTAGCTTGCTCACCCTTCCCTCGAGCTCCGCCTTTGCTGCATTGGAGGACTTGAGCGTCTGCTCCAGCGTCGCGTACTCGATCTTGTAGTTCTCCGTCTTCCTCCTCTGCTCGATCAACTCCTGCAGAAGGACGAGTTGAGGGCAAGCGGGAGGAGGAGGAGAGAGGAAGAGCAAGGGAGAGAAGAGATGAGGGGGAGGGAGGGAGGAGATGGAGGAGGAGGTACCTGCTGAGCCATCTGCGCCTTGACATTCAGGGTAACGATGTTGGAGTCGCGCTCGCTGATGGACTTCTCTGCGCTGGAGAGCTTCTCTGCCAGCAGCGCGCACTCCCTGCTCCTGCTCTCCGACTCCTTCATCACCCTCTCCTCCAGCTCCTTGATCTTCTCCTCTCGCACTGCCCCCTGCTGCTGGCAGCTCCTCAGGATCTCGTTGGTCTCGAGGAGGCTCTGCGACAGGTCGCTGTTCTTGGCGTCTGCCGCGGCGTAATACTCCTTGAGCTTCGTGTACCTCCCGTGAAGCTCGTTGAACGCTGCCTCCAGCTCCTACACGATCCAGTCAGAAGGATGGAGGAGAACTCTGACCTTTAAGGGAGCGACTGAGTGAGAGCGGAAGGGGAGGAGCAAAGCGGAAGAGAAGGAGAGGAGCGGGGAATACATCAGCATAGTTCTTGGTCTCTGTCAACTCCTTAGAGAGCTTCTTGTTCTCCTGCCTCTCCTTCTCGAGGATGCCAGCCATCTCGTCGACCGTGTTGTCTGCCTCCTGCACCAGAGGCTGTCAATCGCAGGAGCAAAAGGAGGAGGGGGAGGAGACACAGACCTTGATAGCAACTTGAAGCCTCTCGTTCTCAGTCGTCATGGACTTCTTGACGTCCTCCAGCTCCTTCTCAGCTGCCGCGAGCTTGCTGGTGATCTGTCGCTTCTCGTTGTCAAGCTTGGCTTGCAGGGCTTCAGTGTTGTAGCTCGAGATTCGCTCCACGTCCTCCAGCGTGTACAGCTGGCGGGCTCTTCCCGACGATGTGAAGGCCGAGGGCTCGACGGGTGCAGCAGCAGGAGGAGCCGGGTTGACCGTCTTGAGTACGTCCCACTCGCTTGAGATCTCCCACACGACCTTCTCCTTCTCCTTCTCCTTCTTCTCCTCCTCCGTCTTCCCTTCCCTCTCCTCAGGATGGCCCGCCGGCTTCACGGCTGCCTGCATCGCTTCCCTGTCGTCCTCGCAAACGTCGGAGATCCTGAGGTCAGCCATGTCCAGCACGTCGTCCTCGTCCAAGAGGTCACAGAGAGCGTTGGCGTTGTCGAGGGCCCCGGGGGATAAGGTGAGACGATTCTGACGCGCCATAAGTTACAAAAGGAAGCAAAGGAGAAGAGAAGGACAGGGAAGGAGGAGAAGAGAAAGAGCAAATCAACTGAAAGGGGCCTGCAAACAAGAGACATACCTTACTGATGGACGAGTGCGGCGAGGGCAACGGGACCTTGAAAGCTGGAGAAAAGACTGACGACAACTCCTTGCAGTCCGCGCACTTGCATCCTGCCTTCCTGATGCACTTCACCTCCCCTGAGCTCTCCTCCTTCCCTCCAATGCAGATAGACGCCATCGCCTTGCAGTCCGAGCACGTGCACCCCGCCCGCCGAAGACACACCTCTCCTCCTTCCTGCGCCGCCGCCGCCTCGTCCTCTACGGCCTCCGTAGGCTTGGTCGTCTCCTCTGCCTCTGCCTCTGCCTCTGCCTTGGCGACTTCCTCCTCTGCCATCGCCTGCTCCACCTCCTCTTCCTTGGCCACTTGCTCGTCAGCAGCCTCCTTGACATCCGCCTGCTCCTGCTCCTGCTCCTCGGGCTTCGAGTCAACCTCCTCCTCCTCCTTCTTGAGAGGAGTGACCGCAAGGGTGATCCCCGCCATCGCAAGGCAGTCCGCGCACTTGCATCCTGCCTTCCTGATGCACTTCACCTCCCCTGAGCTCTCCTCCTTCCCTCCAATGCAGATAGACGCCATCGCCTTGCAGTCCGAGCACGTGCACCCCGCCCGCCGAAGACACACCTCTCCTCCTTCCTGCGCCGCCGCCACCTCGTCCTCTACGGCCTCCGTAGGCTTGGTCGTCTCCTCTGCCTCTGCCTCTGCCTCTGGCTTGGCGACTTCCTCCTCTGCCATCGCCTCCTCTTCCTTGACCACTTGCTCGTCAGCAGCCTCCTTGACATCCTCCTTGACATCCGCCTGCTCCTCCTCGGGCTTCGAGTCAACCTCCTCCTCCTCCTTCTTGAGAGGAGTGACCGCAAGGGTGATCCCCGCCATCGCAAGGCAGTCCGCGCACTTGCATCCTGCCTTCCTGATGCACTTCACCTCCCCTGAGCTCTCCTCCTTCCCTCCAATGCAGATAGACGCCATCGCCTTGCAGTCCGAGCACGTGCACCCCGCCCGCCGAAGACACACCTCTCCTCCTTCCTGCGCCGCCGCCACCTCGTCCTCTACGGCCTCCGTAGGCTTGGTCGTCTCCTCTGCCTCTGCCTCTGCCTCTGCCTCTGACTTGGCGACTTCCTCCTCTGCCATCGCCTCCTCCTCCTTGACCACTTGCTCGTCAGCAGCCTCCTTGACATCCTCCTGCTCCTGCTCCTGCTCCTCGGGCTTCGAGTCAACCTCCTCCTCCTCCTTCTTGAGAGGAGTGACCGCAAGGGTGATCCCCGCCATCGCAAGGCAGTCCGCGCACTTGCATCCTGCCTTCCTGATGCACTTCACCTCCCCTGAGCTCTCCTCCTTCCCTCCAATGCAGATAGACGCCATCGCCTTGCAGTCCGAGCACGTGCACCCCGCCCGCCGAAGACACACCTCTCCTCCTTCCTGCGCCGCCGCCGCCTCGTCCTCTACGGCCTCCGTAGGCTTGGTCGTCTCCTCTGCCTCTGCCTCTGCCTCTGCCTCTGGCTTGGCGACTTCCTCCTCTGCCATCGCCTGCTCCACCTCCTCTTCCTTGGCCACTTGCTCGTCAGCAGCCTCCTGGACATCCTCCTTGACATCCGCCTGCTCCTGCTCCTGCTCCTGCTCCTCGGGCTTCGAGTCAACCTCCTCCTCCTCCTTCTTGAGAGGAGTGACCGCAAGGGTGATCCCCGCCATCGCAAGGCAGTCCGCGCACTTGCATCCTGCCTCCCTGATGCACTTCACCTCCCCTGAGCTCTCCTCCTTCCCTCCAATGCAGATAGACGCCATCGCCTTGCAGTCCGAGCACGTGCACCCCGCCCGCCGAAGACACACCTCTCCTCCTTCCTGCGCCGCCGCCACCTCGTCCTCTACGGCCTCCGTAGGCTTGGTCGTCTCCTCTGCCTCTGCCTCTGCCTCTGACTTGGCGACTTCCTCCTCTGCCATCGCCTCCTCCTCCTTGACCACTTGCTCGTCAGCAGCCTCCTTGACATCCGCCTGCTCCTGCTCCTGCTCCTCGGGCTTCGAGTCAACCTCCTCCTCCTCCTTCTTGAGAGGAGTGACCGCAAGGGTGATCCCCGCCATCGCAAGGCAGTCCGCGCACTTGCATCCTGCCTTCCTGATGCACTTCACCTCCCCTGAGCTCTCCTCCTTCCCTCCAATGCAGATAGACGCCATCGCCTTGCAGTCCGAGCACGTGCACCCCGCCCGCCGAAGACACACCTCTCCTCCTTCCTGCGCCGCCGCCACCTCGTCCTCTACGGCCTCCGTAGGCTTGGTCGTCTCCTCTGCCTCTGCCTCTGCCTCTGCCTCTGACTTGGCGACTTCCTCCTCTGCCATCGCCTCCTCCTCCTTGACCACTTGCTCGTCAGCAGCCTCCTTGACATCCTCCTGCTCCTGCTCCTGCTCCTCGGGCTTCGAGTCAACCTCCTCCTCCTCCTTCTTGAGAGGAGTGACCGCAAGGGTGATCCCCGCCATCGCAAGGCAGTCCGCGCACTTGCATCCTGCCTTCCTGATGCACTTCACCTCCCCTGAGCTCTCCTCCTTCCCTCCAATGCAGATAGACGCCATCGCCTTGCAGTCCGAGCACGTGCACCCCGCCCGCCGAAGACACACCTCTCCTCCTTCCTGCGCCGCCGCCGCCTCGTCCTCTACGGCCTCCGTAGGCTTGGTCGTCTCCTCTGCCTCTGCCTCTGCCTCTGCCTCTGGCTTGGCGACTTCCTCCTCTGCCATCGCCTGCTCCACCTCCTCTTCCTTGGCCACTTGCTCGTCAGCAGCCTCCTTGACATCCTCCTTGACATCCGCCTGCTCCTGCTCCTGCTCCTGCTCCTGCTCCTGCTCCTCGGGCTTCGAGTCAACCTCCTCCTCCTTCTTGAGAGGAGTGACCGCAAGGGTGATCCCCGCCATCGCAAGGCAGTCCGCGCACTTGCATCCTGCCTTCCTCATGCATGCAACGAGAGCAGGGGCATCAGGCTCGCTTAGTTTCTCCTCGGCATCGACTTGTTTCTTGCTGGTGGTAACTGAGGCGGCTTGCGGTGCATCAACATTGGCACGTTCTCCATCGGGTTGCTGTGACGGTTCGCCGAGAGGACTGCAAGGGTTTTCCTTTTGATTGCTTTGCAGGTTTGCCTGCTGGATTGCCCATTCAATCTCTTCCTCTGAGAATCCCATTTCAGTCATGGAGGCTCGCATCTCCTGGTTCTTTTCATGGCAGCTCTCTTGACAGTCTCCGTCTTTCGCGTCATCATCTGCAAGAATGTTGTCTTCCAGCCGTGTCATTCAAAACCAACGAGACTTTCAAGCTCACCGATCCGGTCGATGATCTGATCTGAAAGATCGTGGAAGGACTGGTTCCCAGCCGCATCCTTCTCTACAGCCGGCTCGCTGGGCTTCTCATCTTTCCCGCTGTCGTCGGCTTGAATCTCAGACACAATCTCCTCCCACACTTGGTCTGGGAGCATGGGAGGCGGTCGTGAAGAAATCTTTGGAAGCTTCGGCTGCACAGCATCTGGCAGACAAGTGTGAGAGACAACAAGGGCAGGTGAAACTCTTGGACCTGCTTTTGAGTCCACATGATCTGGATTGAACTTGGGCAAAGACGACTCTTTCACCTTGCTCAAGGACGGCAGGGCAGGAGGATTTTCAACAAGGAAAGAGAGCCGGATAGCCTTGACTTGAGCCTGGCAAGAAGCAGTCTCAACTAAACAAAAGACCAGGGGTAGATTAATTACTTGTTTCTGTTCCAAAGTCTGTTGGCAGTCCACCACTGCTTGCTTCTCCGTAGCGTCTCCCAACACAGGCAACGCTAAAGATCGCAAGACGCCACTGTCTCTGACCCGAAACATGACCTCGTCATCTCCTTCCTCAACAAACTTGAAGTCCGTCCCAGATGTCCAGCACGTGTTCACAGGAGTCTCGGCACTCGCCATTGCCCGTCGGCAGAGCACTGGGGTCTCGACATTCGACAGATCTTTGAATGCGCCTCTCGACCTCTCTTCTTCCCCTGGAGAAGACATGTTTGTCTGCACGAACATCAGAGAAATATGAACCAAAATAGGAAATAATGAGCTCTCTGTAACGCAATTCTAACGAAATTATTGATTACAAAGAGCACAGTGGTATGGATAAGAGGGAGCAAAGGAAATACATACTTCACTTCACATACGCATCTTGATCAATGTGTGGCAAGCTGTGGCACATTTACAGCAGCATTGTGTGCAAGTTTTAGCAAACGGAAACCTAGAGGCACTCGATCTGCTATACATGAAACTACGCTTCGAGCACATGATTGTTGTGAAAAAAATACTATACAAACGCAACAAAACAGAAAAGTACATATGCAGCTTCTGATGACATTCATTCATTGCTTTCGACTCAATATCATCATCTTCACATCGAACTCAGTTCTACTTCTCTCTGTCTGTCATTCACACTTCTCGCTTGAGCTCCCTTCCTCCCTTCCCTCCCCTCCTGGCGAGGTTTGAAACGGAAAACAAATTCAAATCCTTAGCTACCACCACGCCTCTCAACGGACGATAACCGTAAGTAAGGTAGTACGGTCGACGGTTTTAGAGTCCGTTGACCGTGTGCCCGGTGACCGTCTGACAGCGGCAGTGCGGCCCGGCCACCGTCGGCGGCCCGCCGGTGGAAGTAGTACAGCACGGTTGTTGAGAGTCTAGGCTGGCCGGGCCGCGCGGAGCTCCGAGCCTGAGTCCGCCGCCGCCGCCGTCACCTGGCCGGCCGCCGTCCCGGCACTGCGGCAAGGCTCCACGGTGGGGCACGGAAGGCTTGCCAAGTCAGCGGTGTATCCGAGGCGGCCTCAGTGACCGTACCGTGGCAGTAATAGAATTGATGCCAGAGTAGGCAGGGGCCCTGAACCGACTCGGAGATGATCAGTGTACAAAATTGTCGTAGAGTCGGATCTTGAAAATGATCTTCATCATGTCTGGATGCTTCACATCCTTTTTGTGTGCATTGACTTGTGACGGACTCGGTCTTGAGCAAACTTGAACCTGTCACAGCTTGTTTGCACTACTTCAAGTTCAGTTTGGCATAGCACACTTTGAAGCCTTACAAACTTGATCGGAAGTTTGAGTAGGATCATGAGTCAAATGGAACTACCAGGAGATCTGGCGGAAGCCTTGTTTTTTATGTCACGGAGCTTTTGAAAACATTCAAGGAGCTACTTCTGGATTGGCCCCCGTGAACTTGGCAGGCCGGGTGGCCCCAACATCTTCAAACTTTGAAATGCCTTGAAACGGATGACGGTTCAAGTCCGGTGGCAACATCGCGGCAGCAATCTCTGGTCACAAGTTCTTTACAGTACGGTTCCGTGGCAAATTTTATCTTTTGGTCTGCTCTCTTCATCAGTGTGCACACTGATGATCTAATACTGAGCCCTCAGGCCATGAAAATCAGGCTTCTTCAGCCTGTGAGAATGGACAATCCTTGAACCGTCACGGTTTCGAGGCGTCAGGCCAATTCTGGTCAGGCCGCCAATTCTGGAGCAAAAAACTGTCCGTGACTGGCTAAGTTACTTCCCCGTGGGGGGCCCCGGCGTCCGGTGGGCCCGGCCGCCGCAGCCACCGTGGCACGGTGCCACGGTGCCACGACGGTGCGGCCGCGGGGCCAGGCCGGCCGGGCCCGTGCTGCCACTGAGCCCGCCCCCAGTCGGGGAGCAAGTAGTGGGAGATACCAAAAATGGTGAGGCAGGGGAGACTTTCGACGCAGGCGCTGCTGCAGGCGCTGCTGGGCTTGTACTCAGCGGCATACTGCTGCCTGCTGGAGGGGAGCTTCACCAACGAGAGAGGAACGACGATCATCTCGAAGCAAGAGAGTAACTTCGTCGTCTCCTTTCTCAACGATGCTCAGGACAAGGAGGGTTGGTTGGTAGCAACCGGCACCCTGAGCAAGAATGGAAGTCGATGGTGCACGTGCGGAGCAGGGGGCAGTTGCACGTCGAGCGAAGGACTTTGTAGGGAGCTGACGGTGACTTTCATCAGGGCGAACAAGTCCGTAGCGATGGTGCTCAATGGTACTGTCGAGCTGGACTGCCAGGGGGTAACATCATGGAGCAACGGGTACGGCGACTGGTGGAAGCCCGACCCGTCAATCAAAGAGCTGCACATTGTCTCTATGACACATCTTGACGTCGGATTCACAAACACAACTCACAGCGTATGCGACATGTACTTTGAGAAGCATTTCCCTCAGGCCCTCGAAACCCATTACGAACTCAAGGCGCGAGGGGGTGCTGAAACCTACACATGGACTGTCTTCCCGTGGCTTCTCTTGGAGTTCTTCGATGGTGCAGCTGGCTGTGCTCGACGCAGACGGACAGAGCAAGAGATGATGGAGATGAAGGTTGCAATCGAGAGTGGAGCGATCATCTGGCAAGCCAACGCCCTCAACTCCTTCATGGAGCTCTACGACGAGACTCTTCTTGACTACAGCCTCTCTCTGAGACATGAGCTGAACGCCATGTTTGCTGCCAAGTCAGGACTGCTCGCAGGCAAGCAGACTGACGTGCCTGGAATGAGCATAGCTGCCGTACCAGCCTTGCACAAGAAAGGTCAATGCCGTTGGGTTCGGTTCATGTGTGATGATCAACCCAGGCGTGCGAGCGTTTCACATCGGATACAACGGGGCCTGCAAGAAGCCCGAGGCTCTTCCTCCTCTCTTCAGGTCAGACGTCTTTGCTAGTCTCAAGTCCGTCAGACTTGCGTCAGGTGGCTGCACAAAGAGTCGGGCAAGGAGTTGCTCGTCATGGCCGAGGCCTCGTACGGTTGGCTGGTTAGGTTTCAAGATATCGCGCTCGGTCAGTCTTGTCTCAACTTTTTGTTCTTGGACTGACTTCTGATCGAAGTCTTCCAGTATGGATCCGACAACGGTTTACCCCCAAAGCCAGGGCAAGTTTTACAATTTTGGCGAACGATGCAGAATCGATTTCCACAGGCGAAGGTTTTTCACACGCTTTGAGGCGTTTACATGATATCACTGATGTCTTAAAAGTTGATATCAAGCAGCCTTGACGCCTTTGTCTCGCGTGTTATGAACAGCCCAGGTTACGCAAACCTTCCCATCGTTGATAAGGACATTGGTAAGCAAATTGACCTGCTGGACTGCGATGGTCGGCAAAGTTTGACGCGTTGAGCAGGAGATTCGTGGCTGTATGGTTCTCCTGCTGACCCCATCAGACTTGGTATCTTGTGCTATCTTCTCCTCTCGCCCTCATCATCTCTCCAGCTGCCTATCGCGAGGCCGTGCGATTCATCAATGAAAAGATCGGTACTCCTCTCCTCCATTTTCAACTCTCTCCTGACCGACCAAAGGGAGCAAAACGATATCACCAAGGCATCATTCGGTTGGCCTTGAGAGAATTTGCACATGACTGAGCTGATCTGCGCACTAGCTCAGGCGATACATGAGGAGGTTGCTCAAGGTACCTGAGATCCCTCGTGCTCCTCGTGCTCCTCGTGCTCTTCGTGCTCCTCGTCCTCGTCCTCGTGCTCCTCGTCCTCCTCGTCCTCCTCCTGCTCCTCGTCCTCCTCCTGCTCCTCGTCCTCCTCGTCCTCCTCGTCCTCCTCGAGCCCTTCCGCGTTTGTTTCCTCCTCATCCTCCTCTTTCCCGTTTTTGTTTCTGTTCCTTTTGCGTAGACTTACCGACAACCAGGGACCTCCGGAACACAATTGGGGTCTCAGCATAAATGATGTAGAGATAGGACACGCCTGTACGGCAACGTGACAGCTGTCACAGTTCTTTCACGTCCTCAGAACCCCTGACGGGAACTGGAGCAACGAAGAGTTTCACCGGTTGCGGAGGTAGAACGTCTTGTTAGAATTAGTCTCTCCTTCCATTCACCATTTTTCCGAACAGGGTGGACTCGCGCTATGCCATGCTCGAGATGGTCAGGGCCGGTTCAACAAGAGTCCCTCTCACAGTCAGTGCAGGAATGGGCAGATCAGAGGCTGTACAACCACCCGCTTCCCACTCACAACAAAGGTAATTCCCTTTAGACTCTCTTAAAGGCCTTGGGCATGATGTTTGATGCAGGGACCTGGGGCCGTCTCGTGGAGGAGCTGGAGGGGAGGCTGAGGATGGTAGAAGGCGGGAAGGTCTGGTCCTCGGAGAGAGTCAGAGATCCTTCAAGGGGGAAGAAGAGGTGGAGAGCGATGAACCGTGCAGAAATCTCAAAGATGCGCAAATGCGGAGAGTATCTCGTATGCTCACTTGGACCTCTCCTCTTCTCCAATCCTCATGCTTGTACTCAGGTTGCGTTCAACACGACTGATGGATCTCTTTCCTACCTGAGGAGGAGTGAGGTAGTCTTCACTCCATCTCGAAAATCCAACTGTCCCCAAACACCTTCAGGCTGGGGCGTTCCAGTGGGCCAAGTCGTTCGGAAGGATGAGGTAGATAGACAAGCTATGCAGTGACAAGAAGGCGCCGGGATGTTGAACATCTTGATCAGATATCGAACATATTCGGAGCAAGACTTCCTTCACTTCAACGAAGAGTACACCCCAGGTAATCGCCATTGCTCGCAGTCTATCTCCCAGCTCCTCATCATCCGGCTCAGGTTGCATTCCTTGCGATGACTTTGCCAAACTCGGCATGGAGGTCCGCAAGATTGACTTCAAGTCCTCCGGGAGGCTGACTCTTGTAGACTGCCCATCCTGTCTCCCGTACTTGGGACTTCAGAGTTTCCTCTGCCGCTGCAAACATCATGAAAGGTATCCAATGCGCAGAATCTACATCGTTGTGGCGGCTCAACTTTGACTCAAATGCGATTGAGTTCCTGCAGATTCTTGTGAGATTCGCTTCACTTTGTCATCCGAGGACGAAGCTCACAGCAAGTACAGAGAGGGAGGCAGGGAGAGGGAGGGAGGGAGGGAGGGAGGGAGGGAGGGAGGGAGGGAGGGAGGGAGGGAGGGAGGGAGGGAGGGAGGGAGGGAGGGAGCTCCATATAAGCGCATCTTGCATGTCGCCTCTCCCCGTCTCACACTTGATGTCGCAGGTACGGTGCGCCTGGGAGCATACACGTTTGCCTCTTGCTCGATCCTCCTTCATCTACTCATCCATGACCGCAAGCTCTCCTACAACATCCCGGGACCAAACAAGACTGCAGTCAGTCTGCAAGTTTCTTGGACCAACAAGACAGCCACGTATCTTCCATCATCAGCCTCGTTCTCGATGACCAGCCTACAGGAGGCTCGCCGAATCCACTTGGATTTCCTTCGAACCAAACCATGAGACCAGCGCGACATGGCAGATGCACACGCTTGGAAGGTGAGGTACGGACTAGCTCGGCGGCTGCGTGACGTTGACGAAGTTGGCTGTCGCCATATCGAGTGGTGGAGAACGGCACAAGGCACGTCTTCTCCGTATGGTACCTCCTCCTTCTCCAACCTCAGCTTACGATCACGTCACTGAGTCTATCAAGGGACGGAGTTCGGCTGATCCAAGAGACTTCTCCTACCTTGCAGCCGACCAGACAGCAAGGTCTCCTCTCGTCCTCACAACCTCCTGTGCTCGACTAATCCTCAGCCAGCGGGGGGCTCGGAACCTTCTTCTCCCTCCTCGTCCTCTCCCTCCTCTCCCTCTCCGTTCTCGCCCTCCTCCTCCTCCTCCTCCTCCTCCTCCTCCTCCTCCTCCTCCTCCTCCTCTCCCCCCGCCTCCCATTTCCTCATTCAGGCTTTGGATTCGCCACTGTTATCCTTCACAGACATCGATCACCTCATCTGGTGCAGCCCCCTCCCCCTCCTTCCCTCCTCTACCTTTGACTGCTCACCTCAGGTACGATGGAGGTTCTTCTCCTCCGCTGCCGTCGGACCCAGCAGGAGGGCTTCACTTCAACCTGCACAACAACCTCTGGGGAACTGCCTTCCCTCAGTGGTTCTCCGACGACGCAGCCTTCCGCTTCTTCATCTCGCTTCCCCCTTGACTCGGGGGGGGCACTGGCACACGGACAGTGACGAGACGATCCGATTCTGGCATGTTTGTAAAAGTTAAGATGCCGGATGGAGCCAATTTGAAGTGTACAGTACCGTACCGTTCATGGGGCCTTTACTCACGAGGACAAGTCGAGTCGGATGATCGGGAGAGTACAGAGTCACTGCCAGTGCGATCATAGGCCGTGAGCTGACTCTGTCACCGTCTGCCAGCTGGGCCGGGCCCCGGCCGCCAGCGGCGCTAGGGGATCCCCGGGTCCCCGCGGCCCGATGCACTCCGACTCGCGGCCCGGCCGGGCCCGGCGGGCGGCTCAACTGACTATGTGGGATCACCGACGGTGGTCAGTGAGCTCGCCTCAGCTATCAAAAGAATGAAATGTGAAAGTGAAACGGTAGCGAGCGGGAAGAGTGAGGGATGCATCGAGGGAGGGAGGGAGGGAGGGAGGTAGAGGGATAGATAGAGGTAGAGGTAGAGGTAGAGGTAGAGGTAGAGGTAGAGGTAGAGGTAGAGGTAGAGGTAGAGGTAGAGGTAGAGGTAGAGGAGAGGTCGAGGTAGAGGTAGAGGTCGAGGTCGAGGTAGAGGTCGAGGTAGAGGTAGAGGTAGAGGTAGAGGTAGAGATGTTGCAAAGCAGAGAAATCAAAATCAGAGGTCCAAGAAGCCTAAACCCCTCTCATTTCATGATATTCTTTTTCTAACCTCTTGCTTCCGGCAGTCTGATTTCAAGTGTGCACGGTTGCCAAGCATCGCTTTATGAGTATTGTTGAGGAGCTCCATGAAGTGTAAGGATCCGAACTGGACCGAAAAGGTCCCCCTCCTGCTTCTCCCACAGGCGAATCAGATCAGAAGCAGTTTGAACCTCTCGTTGGATAGATCCTGCAACCAAGATCTCGAGGCTCATGTCCAAGGTGCTGATCAGGGGAGGAATGAAATTCTGAGTCAGTGTGATGTTCCAGATCGATGTGACCTGTGCAACCTGGAAACCCGGTGTCGCTCCACCACGAGCAGCGTAGTTGATGTTATTGACACAAGACCAGCTCCAATGGCGCGCAGGTCTTGCATGGGTAAATCTAGCTCTGAATAATCTGCAGACGTTGACCTTGCGTTTATACTCTGTCTTGCATCAACAGGTAGGTTTCGATGTCTTCGACTTGTCTTTCTCTGTTGGAGTCGAAGTTCTCTGAAGGTGCCTTGTCGACCGCGATGGATTCCAAAGGGCTGATCTCTTTCGCTCAGAGGAAAGCATTACAATACAAAGCAAGTGCTAAAACATTGAGCAAGCAGCTTCGGCATGCGTCCGAAGACGTCATGAGAAAGAACACGGTAACGAGTGCTGCCTCTGGTTTGTGTTCCTAATGTTCAATTCAGATCATACATGGAGAACGTGTCCGCTTTCAAGAGACGATTGTACGTCCAATGGATCTTTCAACACATTGCAGGTAGTGAAATCATGTGGCAGGCGAGGTTGGAAGCTTCTGTTCAAGACTCGTCAAAGCGACTGTGTCGGGAGGTTACCCTTGAGGTGCTTTACCTCCAATTCTCATGCCTGAGCTCTCAGGCGCGAGATTTAGGAAAAGAGCTTCTGGTGATCAAACAGGAGATCGTATCCACGATCAGCCATGATGAGCAATTACATTCGTCCCATTCTGATCTCAAGGTGATCAGATCCGCGCAGAGTTTGTATCTTTTGGTCCATAGTTGACTCAGTTTTTGCAGATCAAATATGCAGAACTGCTGGAAGAGTCGAAATCATCTCAAAAGCAGATACAAAACTTGAAGAACATGAACGTAAACCTCGAACACTGTAAGAGAGTACGCGTTGATACACTCACTTGGAATGCAGAGCGACCTTTGGAGGGAATCGGAGAGCTATTATCTCAAACAGAAGGTTTCCATTCATGCATGCGTATTTGGGATGTATTGAAGGCACCTTTCCCTTCAGGCTCATATTGCTCAGCAAGATTCACAGATATCGCAATTGCAAGAGGAAATGGTCTGTTGTCTGCCATTTCGTTTGTCCTGATCTGACGTGCGGAACAAACAGCAAGAAATGCAGAGAAGAGAAGCAAAGTTGAAGAAGAAGCTCGACAAAGGAAGGATGATGGAGCTTCGCCGCTTACAGAAGCTCGCCTTGCTGGAGGTCAGCTCACTGACCTAGGATTCCTCATGCTGTCTCATCCATCTCACCACTATCGCATGCAGGAGGTCGGAACCACTCTGCTCAAGACTTGCATAGGGAGCGAGCATAACCCGGTCTGTACCATCGTTCCGGAGGGCCCAGGAGCAGAAGACTCGCTCAACTTCAGGATCGACAAGCTGGTAAACGCGGCACCTGCTCCAACATCCCCACCTAAAGTGTCAACAGGTGGCGTTAGCTTGTGCTCAGCTGGATATGCTTGTCGACAGGGATCAAAGGAAAGAAGGTACCTAAGCCTCCGAGCTTGTACAAACCGTACCATCCCTGGGATCCACCGCGAGACAGGAATCGCACTTCTTGTCGCCTCCAGCAACACCTCTGCACCCGCTGCTCGGCTCATGACAGTGTCACAGCGGCTTGATAGGCCTGAGCTGCGCACTGCTGACCTGCAAGCCCAAGTGCAGCCACTGGCCGCAGCCGCGCACGCGACCGCTGCCACCGAGGCAGGTCGCACCACGGCCGCAAGTAGAGTCAGGCCGCGCAGTCAGAAATCGTCGAAAAGTAGTACAAAGTCAAATGTGAATTATGATTTAAACGGATGATGTGAGTGAAATTAATTAAATTGAATAGGATCTTTTCAAGTTTTTCTGACTTCTGTCTGACGACTGTCACGAGAACGCGTTGGCCATAACAAGACACAAGGAACACAGCACAAGACGAGGACGAGGACAAGCACGAGGTAAAATGAAGTAGGAAACCGCGTCACTTCATAGTGTCCTATTGACCAGTACAAATACTTACAGTCTAGAAGAACATCACTCGCTCCCTGTTCTAACCAACCTCAAACTTCTTGGTGTTACCAAGCCAGAAACATAAACCCCATTCTCAAACAAGAACGAACACCTAGATCAGGCAGCTGTCTCGGTATCTTCAAATAGAGTTTTGTAGAAAAAATAGAAATCAATCAAGTTCACTCTTGAAAAGTCTGTTTCCCTAAGCTGGAGATACTCTCTTTCATGCACCGGCGTCCTGCTGCCATACCGCAAATACCAAACGGTCGCTTGTGCGGATCGTTTTCGCTGCATTGGTCACAACAATAGGGTTCTGCGACCCTGGCCATGCAAATCTCTGCAGATCCTGCATCTAACTCGTGTCAATTTCCTGGTCCCATCACCTGGATGCATGGGAAGGTGCTTTCTCTCACAAAATTCGCTCACCAGTATCATGTCATGCGCTGCCTCCGACAATTGCGAGTCCTGCGAGTTTGAATCGAATGAAGAAGATTGTCAACCCCGAGCACTTCGATGCTTGTTTCTCCTCATTGCTTCACCTTCGTATTTATTTTGTACCAATTGCAAAGCAAGCACGTTAATGAACTCGCTATGCTCAACAAAAGATTCTGAATCGCCAATCTGCAGTTCCAATAGAGTTTTCCATCCCCATATCAACCTGCCCGGGGTGATTGTGAACATCGATGGTCGAAGTTGCATCGAAATATTACTTCACCATCTTCGTTCTAGGCCCAGAAAAGTTGAAGTGTTCGGTCTGGTTGGTCTGTGCATTGATCATCCATCCATCTCTCACGTGTCCAACGGTTTCACGTGTTGAATTCCAAGTAGAAATCAAAAGCTTTCGTGGTGCACCAACCCCGCCACCTTCATTCCAGGCACGTCCGTACACCCTTTTTTCTCCATTGATCTGCACACTGAGCCTGACAATCTGAGTCAAGCCCTTAGATCATTGCTGTGCCATCCTAACGTGCTCAGGTACTGTATATGTCCTTCGTTGAGATAATTGTGTGCCAACCTGAGCACCTCAGCTGTGTGCCTTTGCATACCTGTCCGAGAAAGGAAGGTCTTGCATCCGATCTTCACCTTCTTGAACGTCCAAGACATCTCGATCCCAAAAGTGCATTCAGCGATGTTCTTGTATTCTGTGCCCACCCCGACGGGCTTTCCTTGCATTTCCCGTCAGCTGAAGGATACTCTGGGCAGTATTCTACCGATCTCTGGGCAGTATTCTACCGATCAAAATCATTCAGAACACAAATCACAGCCATATCCCAATCTTACTTGTATGTGAGGACGCCATTCCGACATACTCTCACTAATCATCAATTCACTTCCTGCGTTGATTGTCTGCAACCTGTTTTTATTGAAAGCTTCAACACGAGAACGAATCATGTCAAATCTGTTCTGAGGGACTGCCTGCCGATGATGGCCAGAACCTGAGATATCTATCCATGTTTCATACCGGGTGTGGCTGATTCAAAACCTGGTCTCGACTTCCGACGAGGTGGAACAAAGCCATGGCGATTGCGACCCCACATGTACCTCATCCGGCCTTTTGGTTGCCACGTGCTACCGTAAAGAAGACCTATCAACTGAACCCATTCGTGCACCGTGATGGGTTGCATGTCTTGGGGCAAATCGTCGTCGGTCCAGAGCAAAGCAGCTGCTATGACTTCTGTTGGTCCCATAGAAAAACTCCCATGGAAGAAGGGATTGCCCGCATTCAATCTCAGGCTTCCACTCTAAAACTTTGACACACACTGTATAGAGGAGGAATCTGAATTCAATTTATTGTCATCCCGCTCTTCAACGAGATTCTCATTATCTCCGGCCTTTTGCCACATCTTTTGCATCTTTTGTTCATTTTGTAGGATTAGACCTCCCAACAAGAACTGTAAACAGACTGCAGCGCCTGTATTGCATGTTTGCAATGACCCAACACCGTGCTTGTCACGTATATCTCCTGCCCTATCTTGAAGACTGTTCGGTTCCTGCAGAGCGAGTTTCAGCATTGGAACCCCCCCGTTGATCCCTGCTTCCAGTTGAAGCCATGGCGAAGTACGAGCTATGTAGAGCTATGGGTTTATTGACTGAAATGAGTTTATGTCACGGCCCTCACTGTCACCAAAAGCTTTTAACTGCAGCGTGCGGGGGGTGGGGTGGTGGTACCGATACGTAGATACATTTACGACTGTCACGAGGACGTTGGCATGGCAAGACCTCAGGAACCCAGCACAAGACGAGGACGAGGACAAGGATAAGAGTAAGAGCAGGAAGGATAAGAGCAATGAGAGCAGGGATAACGGTAAGAGCAAGGATCAGGACAAGAGTAAGAGCAAGGATAAGGACAAGAACGAAGTAAGAAACTAAGTCACCGTATCCTTTAGACCAGTGCACAAATAGTTGTAGGGAAGAGGAAGTAATAAGGAAGAAATGAACACAGAGAAGGTATGTAAGAAAGATGGGTGATAAAATGTAGACAAAAATGTTTTTGTTTCAGGAATCGAAGGACATGCCAGAAAACATGAATCATTTAGCTGTTAAGAAGGCAAATTGGAGGGTGCAAGTTGTCATGTACTGACAGTCGAGCAGAACGCCCCCCGCTCACATGGGGCGCACGAAAAGCTTTGTGGCATCGCTCCCGAGCTTCCTTGTTCGGAAGAAGGCGCCGGCTGCAAGGCGATATTCACTGATAGAGCCTACGCTTGATCCACAGCTTCCTGTGTCCGGCCGCAGCCTTCACTGCTTCATCTATCGGCTGGACCCCCCTGGTGTGGTACAAGAGAAGGAGTCGCAGGTTGATCAGCCCAGGAGCGACGAGTTTTCAGCGCTGCTGCATCAGGCCATACACAACAGCCTCTCCTCACAATCACACAAGGTTTGGAAGATCTACCCCGGCAAGACTTACCTGGATGTTGACTGCATGCCTCTGCTCCTCCTGGAAGAAACTAGAACCTCAAAGGCCAAGTACTTATGCAACTGCTCCATCTTCGTGCCTCTCATCTCCTGGGGAAGTGCCCACAGTGTACTCGACGATCTTGCATGCATCCACTTCGACGGAGCAATCGATCAGGAAAGCCACTTCCTGGTTCACGCATTATGCGCCATTTACCTGCTTCAGAAGAAGGCAGGAAGGCTACAAACTATCATGCCAATCACGCGGGACGAGTCAAGGGGGAAGGTCAGCATGGCAGAAGCCTGCCGACGGCTCAGCACAAAGCCATCGATACCAAGCTGCAAGCGAGCCTGCGTGCTGCTGCAGGAAGGAGGCGTCGAGATGGGGCAGGGAGTGATTCTCAGTTTTCTTCTGGGCATCTCCGTACGTGATGCAGTGATGATGCTTATGCCGTCGAACTGGAGAGAAGAAGCTCTACCGGACTGGGAGCCGGCAGGAGGTCTGACAACCAAGAATTCGTACAGCCTGTACAATGTGAAAATCGAAGGGAACGATAAAGTCAGTGCAAGCGAGGCTGCAGAGATGATCGTAGACTGTCTGGTGAAGGTGCTCAAGGAACATGTAGAGAAAAAGCTGTGGGAGTTTACAAACCACAACCCACGTGGAATTGAGCTGCTGAAACTGCTACGAGAGTCAGGGATATATGACAAATTCGACAAGTACTTTGCGCTGCGAGGAATCGAGTCCCTCCATCAAGTGCCGAGCTTCACTCGCGGCTCTCCGTCCAATGGAAGCAAGAGGGAGCAAGTGGTCCACCGGCCATGCAGTGACATCACAGCTTACAACGCGTCAGACGAAGGGTCGATCCGAGCGCTGGAAAGGCTCGTGGAGGACCACCGGGACGATGAGCGCTTCCTCCCCTTGCAGGAGCGTCTCAACCGCTACCGTGACTCAGAGGTTGATGGCATCCTGGCCCTCCGCACCACCAACTCAATCGAGACAGCCATGGTGAAGCTGCCGGCGCGATGCTGCGTCCTCTGGCTGAGTATGGTGTACCTTGTCTTCGGGATCAACCAGCTCGGCCCTCTCTTCACCGAGCAGATCTGGTTGCCAGAGAAGAACTCTACCACTCCAGTGCAGCCCAAGACAGTGAGAATCGCCAAGGTTGCAGCGCCAGTTATCAGCTTCTACTGGTCTTTCTTGTTCGTTGCAGGCGTCATCGTCGGGCAGGTCAGCACGCCGCTACGAGCCAAGTGGCTGATGCTGTTCGCGGGCCATCTAGTCATTGCCGGCAACGTCTTCAGCTTCATCGTAGATAGCATTCAGTGCTCGGTGGAGGGGACAGGGATCGGACCTAACTGCAATGCTTACACGCTCATCCCTTCCATTGCGGTGATGTCGTTTGTGATGTACCTTGCTCATAGAGTTCAGCACTACTTCTGGATGGCTGCCTTCTTCCTCCAGGGCCTCTACTGCTTTTACTGCATTTACGCTTTCCCTGCTGACAGCGTGGACTTGAAGATCGGGCTCGGAATGTGTCTGTTCCTGGCCATTGGCTGCTGCTTCATCGCCATCGCCATCATCGTCCAGTACCGCCGCTCCTATAGACAAACATTGAGGGAACTGCAGACGGTCATGCAAGGCTTTGACGACACCTGGCAGAAGATAGAGGAGGAGAACAAGCAGAGCATCGCGGCAGTGAGCGTTCAAGCACGCGAGATCGCGCAAGAGCTGCAGGCAGTGGTGAAGGAAGACTTCAAGACGTGGGGGAGGTGGCTCTCAGCGATGGCGGGATGGCGAAGGGCGAGGTACTCGACAACGGACTCAAAGATCCGGCAGGAGAGCAGAGACATCGAGAAGCTGTTCCAGGAGGCGCAGGAGATCAGCGCTGCCTTCCAGCTGTGGGTGTCAGCTTGGAACCAGGTCGGCAGAGTACAGCATGGGAACGTGAAATCTTGTGCGCGAGCGATACAGAAGACCGTGAGATCGTACGGGCGAGACCCTTCCTGCTTGACGGACCTGGTCCGATGCACTATCCTAGTGCAGTCGATGGAGGAGGTGCAGGAGTGGCTGAGCTGCTTCCGCCGCATCTCGGTGGTCGGTTATGGGGTGAGCGCGAGGGACAGGAGAAGAGCAAGCGACGTAGCCCCTGAGGACGTGGAGGTACGCGAAGAGAGGAGGAGCGGAACGTGGAGATGAAAGTGAACTGCAGATGGGAGGGCGGGAGATCTTCATGAGCGTCACGAGCATCAAGAACCGGTGAAAGCAGGCGAGGGATTGGAATATGCCTGAAGCTCCGATTTCCAGCTATGATCCCCGATACGATGCCAGATTGAGCGGAGGTTACCGAGATATGTGCATCTGCGTAGAGGAAAGAGATGAGCGAGGTGGGTGGGAGAGCTGACGAGTAGACTGGCAGGTGGGATGGACGATAGACGAAGCGAGTCAAACTTGCATGTTTGTGCCTGTGAGGGAGTGGGGAAAGATGGAAGTTCGGAAACACATCTGCGAAATCCAGGTGAAAGACGCTGTCAGCAGCAGGAGTGGAGGCGGGAAGAGAAACGAGCGGTGCAGGGCAAGTGCGAGCCCTGCATGGAGGAGTGGAAGAGACGAGGGGAGAGGCGAGAGAATGAAGCGACAGGACAAGAAGGGGACTGAGAAAACATATCAGTAGAGGCGAAGCGGGGAAATGGTGGGGAGGGTACGGACGAAGATACGAGGAGAGCTATGCCAGAGCTGGAGGGGGAGAGGGAGTGTACAGGAAGAGAGGGGAAAGGAGGGAGTGCATAAGTGGAGACGGAGGGAGAGCTCTGAGATTGCTTCAGGTGTTGCTAGAAGTGATGCAAGGAGTGAAGAAGGTGTTGCACAAGGAGTACGTGAACTTCCGCAACATCATGTGCCAGTGAAGAAGTTTGTTGTGAATATCTAAAGACGCCAAGAGGCTCTCAAGAGACTGACATGAAGCAGAGGAGGACAAGTAAGCTTGAGTCTTCCCTCAGCTTTGCACACCACAAGCACGCGATAGCCGCAGTGCTCCTGCCACCCTCACGTGAACTTCACCCCCACATGTCTGTGTGTGCTGACAGGTCTTCACTTTGCATGGCATGTCACTGAATCCTCCGATGCCAAGAAGAAATTGGGAACCAACAAGCTCGTTAAATGTTGTAGATGATACGAGAATTGAAACATCGAATGTTCAAAAGATTTTCGAGCCCCATGTTGTCACCAACCGAATTCATCTTCTCTCACTTTGCGAAACTTCAAGTTCTGCCACTCGCCGGCGCAAAAACGACAGCTCTTCTTGGAGCGAATCGTTTGTGGACATGCTTGTATCACCGTAATTGGTCACCCGCGTCTCATCCCGAGTCGAAGTCGATATGTATGATTGAGAGAGCTCAGAAAGGCTGGCTTTTGCAAACTGCTTTTGTATCTGTCTTGTGGTCATGCAGAGTACAAGGACAGACAGCACAGTACCTGGACGCTACGTTGTTGCTTAATCATAGTGCTCCGTAGACGGCGCGCGACGCCCTGCTGTTCGTTGCTTTCATTCTTGAAGGAAGACATATATCGCTCCTTGTTTTTGAGCATATTCCTCGTATTGAATAGCAGAACCTGACGCGAGCACTAAGTCTGCAGTACAAACCCAAGCTCTTGATACCTGCATGTCCACCACAGCTGCCCCTGAGATCTCTTTCTCAAACTCGATCCCATTTTGAACAACAGCAGCGATGTCGTCGATTGCTTTCTTCATCTTTGTCGCCAGGGTAGTCTCATTCTTCAGCGCGGCGATGTAGTCATCCACGTTCTCCTGCAGCTCCTTCACTACCTCCTGGGGCGGTACCGTTCTATTGGCACGGAAGTCCTCCCCAGAAGTCCCCGCAGGCCTTGTATCAGTCAGTGTTGGCTCCACAATCACCTTGAAGGAAAGAGGGATCCTCTCCTCTCCCAGTCTCGACGTGCTGTTCATGCCCCCCAAATGTCTCAATGGCAGGGAGTTATCAAGGGTCAGGGGCAGATATCGCCTGAACCGAGGAAAAGTGGACGATAAAGATCTTCTTCCTTCTCTTTCGGCTCTTAGTCCCTCCTCCTCCTCCTCCTCCTCCTCCTCCTCCTCCTCCTCCTCCTCCTCCTCTTTCAGTTACTCCTAGTCTTCTCGCTCTGCCTCGAGTTCCTGCGACCCCTTCCTTGCTCGTCAGCGCCCATTGGCCATAACCATCCTTCAACGGGCCAACGTCTAGAGCATAACTGTAATGTAACGGCTATATCATCGCGCTCCGAGTCCGGTCAGTCCTGCCCCCCCGACGGGGCGCCGAATTTTTTTTGGGTACTGGAAAGCTGACTGGAAAGGGTTTTAAAAAACGCGGCCGCCCTCAGATCGAGTGGTACTCTGAGGACTTGTAGCAAGAAGTACTATAATTTTAGTTAACTATTGTTTCTGTACTGTGTGAAACCGACTTCCTAGGGATTCTATAAATAGTTTTAAAATAGTACTAGTTTTAAAACTGGGTCGCACCGTGGCGGAGCAGATCATTGGGGGGTAAGGGGTGGGCCTGGAAAAGGACAAAGTAGGGTAGGGTATAAAGTGGGGTGGGGTGGTTTGCCAGACCTGATAAGGGGTAGAAGGTACTATCTAGGCTACTCACCAGGGGTGGGGATCGTAAAGATACAGTGAGGGAAAGCAGGGGGTTGTTACTCGTTGGCAGCATGTTGGGCGCATGGCGGGAAGGAGGACGACGGTGGATGAGCATGAAGGGGTTAATGCAGGTTAGCAGGGATCTCTCGTTGCTTCTTAGTGCTTAGAATCCTGATCACATGCAGCGTCATGTCTTGATTGTTTATGACCTTGATCCTGATGTCCACGTTCCCCTCCTCTTCGATGTTTTACATGCTGTACGTATGTTTCGATTGTCGCCAACAGATCCTCTACCTTTTTATGAACACGAAGGATGAACGATGTTTGGAATATCAATGATATGCAAGACCTTGGATGCGAAGAATCCCTTCTTCATGTTCTCCCCCGCTTGCTCTTGTTGATCGCAACACAGCATCGCCCCCTTCTCATATCGGACCTGTTCGATTATGCTGTCAAGGTACACCCTTCATCACATTCCACTCAGAGCTGATTCTTCGAAACCTGAACAGATTCATCATTCACAAGAGATCGTATCAAGAACGATCGAAGATCCTCACAAGTTCCACCGGTAGTGCGTGCCTCTTTGTTCCACTCAGTGTAAGCATTCGCCAAGGTACACGTATTCGGACTGGGGGAAGAGGACGAAGAGGATGGCAAACAGCTTGAAGGAGCTGGGTGTTACTTCAGGAGACCGAGTTGCTACTATCGCCTGGAACGGATACCGGCACTTTGAGCTCTACTACGCCATTTCGGGGGGAGGAGCAATCCTACACACCATCAACCCCCGCCTGAGTGCAGAGCAGATGTCTTTTATCATCAACCATGCTGAAGACAAGGTTCGCATTCGATTGATCCGACTCCGCATGTCATTCATGAAGGCTTCTAGGTCATATTTGTGGACCTTACCTTCTTCAAAGCCCTTCAGGCTATTTTGCCGAAGCTTTCTACAGTGAAGGCCATTGTGGTCATGAGTGACAAAAAGCAGTAAGAAAGTGGAGGATCCCCACATCACATCTATGACAATATCTTTGTTTAGCATGCCAGATGTTTCCCAGCCAAACATTCTGTGCTACGAGGATCTTATTTCATCCGGGAAAGAAGCATTTAACTGGGCAAAGATGGATGAGAACGATGCGTGTTCGTTGTGCTACACTTCTGGAACTACTGGTGTAATTGTATTCAAAGATAATGCATTCTCAAGGACATGACAGGTGACCCTAAAGGCGTTCTCTACTCTCACCGATCGACAGTGTTGCATGCTTGGACTATCTGCAGTACGAATTCGTTTGGCTTGGTATTTTTTTTTGAATGTAGTCTTCCGACGGCATATATGGAGCATCTCATCCAATTATGTTGATCCTTGTATTGACATATACTGATGTTGTGAGTATCAGGGTTCAAATGATACCTGCTTGCCGATTGTGCCAATGTTCCACGTGAACGCGTGGGGTGTGCCATATAGTGCATGCATTGCAGGCTGCAAACTAGTCCTCCCCGGATCTGGTGATAGTTCTTCAGCTGAATCGATTTCCCTCTCACCCATTCTTCGACCTTTTCGTTTCCTGTTCTCTATCCTCCCCTCACGTCGAGGGACATGACTTGACTTTCACAGCTATGGACGGCAAGAGCATAGCAGAACTTCTTTGTGCAGAGAGAGTATCATGCACTGCTGGGGTTCCCACGGGTGAATTCATTTCTGACCCCTCAGAGATGCTAACCTTCTCTGTTGTTATCAGTATGGAGCATGCTCTTTAACTACCTGGAGTCAACTGGAACCAGAGTCCCAGACCTCAAGCGTGTGCTCGTTGGTGGTGCTGCTTGTCCTCCGTCCATGATCGCGACATGGGAAAAGAAGTTCAAGGCAAGGCCTCGTGTTTCTGTCGATTGAAAGTTTCTTACATGTCGCTGTCAGGTTCGATGCCAACATGCATGGGGCATGACAGAATTGAGTCCGACTGGAGTGATCAATGACCTCCCAAAGCTCGACGACAATGAGTATCCAATCTCCCAAACATCGGACAAGGTTAGAAGCGTTGTGAAGTTCTTGAGCACTGATCGTCAACTCATAGGCACGTCAAGGCCGAGAAATGTATGGCATAGAACTCGCATGCTTTGACGATGATGGCAATATTGTACGATCGAATCCTTCAAATGCACAATGTGATGATCCATTTCCAGCTGCCGCGAGATGGCAAGACAGCAGGACGGCTGAAAATACGAGGGAATTGGGTTTTGGAATCTTATTACAAGTCGGACAAGGTAAACCTTCAAGTCACCTATGCATGGGATGCAAAATGACCTGCAACTCGTAGCCAGCGGTCGATGAGGACGGATGGTTCGACAGCGGAGATGTTGCGACCATCTCTGAAGACGGCTACATGCAAATCACGGATCGCAACAAGGACCTGATCAAGTGAGTAGGGAGATGTCCGCACCCATCGGAGACCAACAAGTCTGATGTTTGATTCTCAGGTCTGGTGGAGAGTGGATTAGTTCTATCGAGCTTGAGCACGTGGCATTGGAGCATCCCAGCATCTCGCAGGCATGTCTCCTACATGCAAGTCAGCCCATGACTTGCTCCTGTCGCAGGCAGCAGCCATCGCTGTCACTCATCCAGTCTGGGGAGAGCGTCCTCTGATCGTTGCTGTGGCTAAAGAGAACTGCAAGGTAGAGGATGACAGTCGTGCTCAGGCTGTTGCTCCTCTGACGTTTCTCAGGTCGACAAACAGGAAGTTTTCAAGTTGTTCGAGTCTCTTCCCAAGTGGTCAAGACCCGACGACGTGGTACTGCCACTTGCTCTGCTGCTCCTCTTTCCTCCTTGGTTGGCTGATGTCGATCAGGCGTTTGTGGATCATCTTCCTGTGGGGGGGACCGGCAAGGTCCTCAAGGTCAAGCTACGCGAGATGTTCGATGATCACTACGCTAAGCTGCACAATGCCACGAAATGATGATCAATGCCATGCACAAGATGCGCGGTGAGATTCGACAGGGCCCCAGTCGACTGAATAATGACGATCGATCTCTCACAATGAAAATCACGAGATTGAGGAATACATGAATAGTAAACAATGACAGAAAGTTGTCTACTTTGTTGACATAATCAGGACATCTCGGGTACTGTGTGTTCCATCTGGACTTTGTCACAGTCCGTCATTTAACTTCTTGATCTCAACATGGTACTCTTAGCATCTGCAAACGATGCATGCTTCTGATCGCCCAGGCCTGTACGACACTTTGTGATTCTTCTCAACACTTCTCATTTCACTCTCACCACTTAGCAGTTGCCTGGGCCGGCACCTCACCCTCGAGGACGGGCAGGAAGGTCTCCAACTCCTCTGATGTTCGGTCCTCGCCGCCCGACTGCAATCACATCAAAAGAAGCCAATCATGTCTATGTGAGGAGTACCTGTATGCCCCCCCCCTCCCCCTCCCCCTCCCCCTCCTCCCATCCCTGGCATCCCGCCCCACATTGAAGGCAATTGAGGCATCTTTGAAGGAGGAGATAGGATCAAATTCCCCACCCCGTAGAAACTCGCTAGAGCAAGAGATCCTGCCAGACGATCACAGACTGTTACTTCTCCCATGCAGTGGCAAACCCCGTATGCCTCCCAGAAGAAAGCCAACGATGAAGAGAGCGATCAGAGTCGACAAGCCCGAGGCCGAGGTCGGCATGCAGTTTGCATGCTGACCTATACCTGTAGTCATGACTTAGAGTTGTAGCGCCGTCAGATGGCCCTCTCGTCCCCTATTACCACTAGACGATGGCGTCGGATTAGCTGGTGCACGGTCGTCCACGACCTCTCCATTGACGATTCGAACCATCTGGCTCCAATGAGTTGGAGGAGTTTGCCAGCAAAGTTCTCTTCTGCCTCCTAGAAATGACATCAGCTTCCTTCAACACCGACTCGTTGTTCATGGTGACTGCCCACACACAACTACCTTTGCTTCCCTAGATCTCCTGTCGTCTATTATCTCCCATGACCTGGGGCTCTCAAGGTGAAGACTTTTCATACCTATCGTCATATCATCGACATATTCCGCTGTCTACTCCGTATCCTCTCCTCTCCTTTCCTTCTAAAGTCTCCTTTCCCTGTCCCTTCCTCTTCTCCTTTCCTGTTCTCCATTTTGCTCTGTTCTGCACTTTGCTTGAATTGAGCCCTCATCCCACCTCATTCTAGTTTGACCACATCCCCACTCATACCACATGGATCAATTGTGTGCCCTCATCACCACACATGCCACGACCTTGACATTCAAAATGATCTGAAAATATTTTCAGTCCAGACCAATTCTCTAATCAGTGACCACCCCTTGAAATGGGGTATTTTTACATTCAAAGTTGGGGGTAGGATCAAAGTGGGGGTCGGGCAGACACATCTTGAGAAATTCGAACATCCCCGCGCTGTTGGATACCGACAATTTGGTACCCACCCACCCCAGGTAGAAATTGGAGCACAAAATACCCCCTACCCCCTTGTTGATATGAAATACAACGGGTGTTGAGTTGAAATACACCTGCACGATCTACCCTACCCCTGGTTTCCCGCCCCTCCCGGGGAAAGGCTATATAGAAAGAGGGGGGGGACATGGCTCCCCATCAACACACGCAATGTCCGGCAAGGCTGGCAAGGGAGCTGCAGGAAGAGGAAAGAGCAAGGGAGGCAAGTCCGTTTCCCGCTCCAAGAAGGCTGGACTTCAGTTCCCCGTTGGACGTGTCCACCGCTACTTGAAGAACGGCAAGTACGCCACCAGGGTTGGAGCTGGTGCCCCCGTGTACCTCGCCGCTGTCCTTGAGTACCTCTCCGCTGAGGTTCTTGAGTTGGCTGGCAACGCTGCTCGTGACAACAAGAAGTCCCGTATCATCCCCCGTCACATCCAGTTGGCCGTCCGCAACGACGAGGAGTTGAACAAGCTTCTCGGAGGAGTCACCATCGCTGCTGGTGGAGTTCTCCCCAACATCCACTCTGTTCTCTTGCCCAAGAAGAGCAAGAGCAGCGAGAAGAAGGCCGAGTAAATGGTTGACACCTGAGTCACGTACTGGTGTTTTTCAACACCAAGGGCTATGCAGTTGGTGCAATGAGATGGTTCGACTCCATCTAGCCTTGTTTTCTGAGTTTGTCCTGCAATATACATACAAGTGCCTTTTGCTCGATTTTCTATCTTCATCTTGGTCCAGATTTCAGGGACCAACTGTGCTCTGTAGCCCGATTTATGATGTGCCGAGGAAGGAAATATCTGGAAGTCTCTCATATCCAGCATGGTCTTACTTTTTAATCGATAGTTGATCTTGTAGATCTGATTGTGGCTTAACGGCCGGATGGAAGAAAGGCCAAGTTGAATCAAAAATCAATCCTTATCTGGTGTTTCCAGGGAAACGAAGTCGACCATGTGAACTAGGTTCACTGGCAGGCAGCATGTCAGGAGGGTTGCCAGTCGGAGAGACAGGGAAGAAGAATAAGATTGAAGGGCGGATAGGTCTGTGTGCAATCATGATGCGAGGACGAAACGCTGGTGAGCATGATAGACGCGAACACAGCATTTGACCGTCCGGCGCTTTGTCAGGAGGTCCTTCCCCAAATCGAATCCTGAACACAGTTGGCAACCAGGCAGCCGTGCGATCCGATCAACATATCTCACTGTCTGGCTGAACTGTCACGGTGCCATCAAGTGTTTGGCCTGCACGCCGGACTTGTCTTGGAGGAGTCTGGCTGTAAGTGAGCTTAGTGCTACACCCGGCCTACAGCCTCGGACTCTCTCGGAGGCTCAGAGTGCGGCTTGTCTTGGCTCAGGCAGCTTTGCCGATCCACCAAAAGATGACATCCGTGATGGTGGCATGAGGATCAGTATCTCCGGGACATGCGCTACACGCCATTTCAAGTCATCAACCCGGCCGGAATGCATTCATCTGAGTGTATTATTCACTTGTCAGCGTCTTTGTGTGGAGCAACTGCTAGTCCAACGGTCGGGCCCTGGTCTACGCTTCCTGCCGCACCAACGACCGTACGTTCCGATCCGGCTATCGTCACGGTTTACCCGATGATGCGAAGAAGCTCGACCTGCCGTCCCAGTCATCATCGTCAGCAGCGAGCTGAGGCAAAGGCTCTTGCCGACCTCGAAGATGAGATCCGCATTCGGGGGAATAACGCCTCCTGCTCCTTGGCTTCCATAGCCTGCATCCACAGTCAACCTAAAGTTTCGTTCCCTTCGGCTAGATTGCTAAATTTTTCTACCGTAGTCAGAGGAGATGATGAGCTTTGCTTTCTCTCCTGGAGGAACACATCGTCAACTCTCGACTTTGATGAAAATTTTTGCGGCTACCAACGCTCATCTTCATGACACCTTCATCCCAGCCACGGATGACCTGTGCAAAGTTAGGTCTCAGGTACGTTGACGATGATCAGTTTCACTTGTCCAACTCCAATGACAAATTGGAAGGGTTTGTTGCGTTTGAAAGATGAGTCAAACTCTTCACTGAGGAGTTTGTTAACTATCCTTCGCCCTTAAAGGCGAAAATTTACCCGTTGGAAGCCAACTTTCCAGTGTAGTGCATTTCCAGCCTCTGTCCCTGTAAAGTAAAGGAAGTTATGGTCTTAGAATGGAGAGCAATACTTACTGACCTTCTTTGGGAAGTTTTTTCCATCGCCAGGAGTGATAGTTTGGACTTCAACTCCCATCTTTGAAAAAGATTGACAAAAAATGCAAAAATAAGACTCAAACAAAAGGGCTGAAACATTATTGAGATAAGAAGGGATTACAGTTTGCAAACAAGACACGGCTCTCTCCTTCCCTCCGTTCCACTCTCCCTCTCTTCAGATTCATCCCCGGTGCCCCCGCTACATCTCGGAAGGAGAATTCAAAAATCAAACTCAGCTGTGGGCGAATTACGACACCCGGCTGGAACTCCTCAGACAACACCGAAGTACCAAAGACGAAAACTCGCTACAACAATCACGATGTATGAAAGAAGCCGTCGAACAATCAAAACCAGGCAGCAAAGAGCTCTAGTCACTTGCTGTAGTTCCTTATGGTTATTGCCAAGACTCAGGCACAGCAGCATTTGCCTGGCATGGAAAGCCAGCAGAGGAACTCTATTATTGAGGAAGGGGAAGAGAGGAGGGGTGTGAATTCCCCGTTTCCAAACGACTTCGAGGGGGTGGAGGTGTATGGACACGGCGTCGCCTTTCAACTTACCGGTGCGCTGTCGGGCCCGGCGGCCTGGCCCGGCGGCCCGGCCCGGCCCGGCCCGTCTCGGAAAGTCTCATGAGGCCCAGGCCCGGGCCTTTGTTCATGCCGTCAGGCCGCCCGTGGACGACGGCCGGCCCGCGTCGCCGCCCGGCATGTCACACGCCCGGCCGCAGTGCCAAGTTGGGCCTGAGGGGAGAGGAGGGACCAACGGACGTCTGATCCTGCTGTCCGTTTCCCTGAGGCTGGCTCACGACCGAGTCCAGTACCCGCTTCAAGGGGGGTACATGGAAGATGAATGAGGGTGGGGTGGTTGGTATCGTAGCAAGGGGGTAAGGGAGAGTCCTGGACAGGTTCGGGTGGGGTAGTAGTCAGGGTGGTCCTCGAAGAAGAAAATGCAGCGCTGTGGGGTTTGGATAGCGCTAGCAAGCGCGGTGATGGTAGCAAACCCAGTATGGGCACAGGATGCGGATTCTCTTGATGAAATCCAGAATCTACTTGTTGAGAGCGATTTTCTTTGGGACGTTGACGGCTGGACGGTGCAAGGAGAGTGTGATCCTATTCAACATGGGCAGAGGATGGCAAAGGCTGCAGACAGCGGGCCGGGGAAATGGTATTTTGTCGCCCCAAAGAAATTTTTAGGTGCTAAACGAGCAGCATATGGAGGAAAACTTACGTTTCGGCATGGATTTTTTGAGTATAATAGGTGATTGCCTTCTTGGTTTTCTCTTTTCACTAATTCCCTGTTTGTCTCAGTGAGGGAAGAGATCTACAAAGCGGCCCATTCGACGTGGTGCTGATATCGGAAGCTCATGGGTTGGTTGTGGGCAAGAAAAATGTTATCCCAGCCTGGGCATTTCGTAGCGACCATGAACTGGAACTTGTCGAGACAGCAGGTTGGATCCTGAACAGCACCAAAGGTCCGCCCAGCCGCCCTGACATGATAAGACTGCTATCGAAGTTGAGTGCAATCTGGATTCGAGGAGGATTCTACCAAGGAAACGAAGACTCTTACATCATGAATGTCAAGTTGTTTTCCGGGCCAGTTGACACAACCCCGAAGAAGAGCTCTTTGAAACGTCAGCGGATTCACTCTGGCCCGTCCCAGGTGCCGCCGGAAGAGCCGCCAATGGAGAGGGAAATCGAGCCTACCGAATCCAAACAACATGACAATGATGAAACCAAGCTTCACATCGATGACAAGGAGCTTGAAGAAACCTATCGTCGGCTGAAAGCACAGGAATCCAAGAAAGCAAAGGCAACCGAGCAAGATAATATGCAGGATGTCCCTCCTCCACCTGAGGATGATGATGCTGCCGGTGGAAGCAATGAGGGTTCTGATGATTCCAGATCGAGAGATCCCATGGAATCTGATGAAGTTGAAGAGAAAACAAAGAAGGAGAAGAAGGGAATGTTCGGTGGATTCTTTGGCGGAGGCGAGAAGGACGATCTGTGAGGATCATGTCCTGACGAATGATGAAAGGAAGAGCAGGATGCAAAGATGGTAGAATTTGCTAAGGCAAAACGGAGTGGTAGGAGAAAAGATAGAATCTCTACAACATATAATTGAGACTGAAGAGGATATGAAACGAAATTGATTGCAAGGGACCAGTAAAGAGAAACAACCTGTTGCAATTAACCAATGCCTGCTGCTAGTCGCTGCCATCTTCCTTTGTTTAGTCTTTTATTCGGAAAACTATCAAGATCAATAGAAGAACCCAAGAATTTTACCACCAGTGCTCTTCCTACGAGCCTGTGAAGCAAACCATTCAGTATTTTCCTACCCCAATCAACAGAAGGAGATTAAAAACTCACCTCCTCATGGTCCATAATGCCCAAAGAGGTTGTCAACACCACATATCCGAACTGACGCGAGGGGAGAAGATTACTGGTCCATTGCTCGATAGCGCCGATGGTTAAATCGAAGCGAGGAGAGATGACACCGCACTTGTTGATTCTGCCAATGAGCTCAACAACGACCTTTCCACCGCGGTGATCGTCAACAATTTCAAACTCCCCGATGTATCCTGGAAGTATGGTCAGAGAGTCTAAAGCATCAGCTGTTTCGATTGCGCGTAGGATGACGACAACGATGAAAGCATGGTGTTAATGGTATTCGAAACAATTGGATCCAATCGTTTTGAGCTTTCTCGTATCTCGTCAGATATGAACACACATCAATAACACCACACGGATTATCTCATGTGCGCGAGAAGTCAAATAAACATTTCAACAATTTGTATCCAACCAGTCAGTGAGAAATTAACCATGCTGACTGTCAAGAGTGTTCGAAACAACAACAAATAATCTTCAACACCATCAGCTCTTCACTTCACTCATCACCGTTCTCCACACGCATCTAACATCCATGCCCCTCTAGTTACAGAGTGCCACGTGCCACAGCACGAGAGGTCAGAGAGCTTCTTACCGTGTTTCTGCATAACCTGGAAGTACTTGACGATAACCTTGGAGCAAGGCCTGATGAGAACCTGGCGCTTGCCCGCCTTCTCCGCGTTGTTGAGCGTCTTCAACGCATCGGCCAGCACTGACATGCGCACCATGGCGGCTTCTCCTTCCCTGCCTGCACGCGACTCACCGAAAAAAAAATAATCCTGAGGCGGACTGTGGGGTGGGGTCCTGAACTGGGTGATTGACAGGGTATGAAGGGAGGGTGGTAAGAGAGCTGCTGGGTGGGGGTTATTCGATTTGGTGGGGTGGGGGTAGAATGAATCAATATTGTATGAGGGTGGGTACATCACATTGGAACAGAAAGCCCCAGAATGAAGTCTACTAAACATGGTATTTGTGTGGTGGGTGGAGAAGTATCCACCCTATGCAAAATGGGAGGGGTGGTGGTTGAAAGGAATCTATTCTGGATCTGTTCTGAGGAGGTGGGTGGTAACAACTTCAAGCTCACCTCAGGTGCAATGGCGAAACAGGGATGATGGTAGACCAGAGAACCGTTGGAGAATGGCTGAAAGAATCTGCGGAAGAATATGCATATAAGGATGGCGGGAAGCGAGCAAAGGCTGATTGAGAAGTTGAATGGGGAGATCAGGGATAATGATGGAGCAAGAAAAGGGGGGAGGAGAAGAGGGGAGGAAGAAGTAAGTGGAGACAGTGAAAGGAGGCTGGGAGAGTACAAGGGAAGCATACGCAAAATGTACGACAAGAATACTGGCATACATGGACAATAGACAATCATTCTTCTAATTTGATTGAGAGACAGAGAACTTGTGGTGTGACTTGTTGTACACGAATGATTTATTCCATTCCTTCATCAACAGGTGAAGACGCTTGAAGAAAAAGGTGGACCGAAAACTAAGATAATCGAAATCCGACAGTATGCTCTGCTCCAACATCTCTGTGTTTCTTAGCGCGATCCCCCCCGAGAAGCGTAAGAGGACCAAGGTAGGTGCTGCTGGACGAGAAGAGTCGAGCTTTCCTATCACTGACGTGATGAGTTGTAGAGGCCAACTATAGTCGAGGAGGAGAAGCCACTGAAAGCGAAGATGCCGTAAGACGTAGCAAGGAGGATATTTGTTGATGACGTTGAGTTAGGAAAAGACAGAGGAAGGAGGAGCCGAGGCAGAGCCGAAGGAGGAGCCGAAGGAGGAGATAAAGGAGGAGCCGAAAGCTCAACCGTACAAGGTCACGCTGAATGGGTAAGAACTGCTGTGGAGTAAGACGTGTCTGCATGTTTGTTGGTAGTTTCTTCTCTTTGAATGATGCAGCCAGTTGTGTAAATCTCTCCGATGCTTCTTGTGGTTGACTGACACTGTTGTTGCAACAAATAGGAACGTTCCTTGTGCCATCCTGCTCCACCATGCTAGGAAAGTGTACATCAAGGTATGTTGTTGTAAGACAGCTCAGTTGTTGGTTGAGTTTGCAACGCAGGAGGAGAGGAAAGAGAAAGGAGAGAATGCAGAGTTGTTAGTGACTGTGAGTGCTGCTGCCTCCTTGAACCAGCAAAGGGTAACAGTAAGTGTAGATGGACACGCCTTGCACTCAGCTCGACCTGGCGACGATGGAAGGGAAGGTGAAGGAGGCAGGAGGTGAATCGTCCAGGGGCATTCAAGAGACTGCAGGTGGTGGGATTGGGGGAGGAGGAGAAGATGAAGACGATTGCAATGGAGATGTTGGAAGCGAGAAGTGATTACATCTTAGTTCTGCGGAAGGTGAGACATCGTAGCGATGATGAAGATTTGTGACTGTTATGGGGGAGAGGGAGGAGCAAGAGGTGGTGAGGAGCATGTTGATGCTAGTAGATGGATGCTCGGGGTGATGGTTGCGATGATGTTTCATCTTCTCTTGTTCTTGCGATGGACCTGTGAGCGATCATGATGGCAGGTCGACGAGGAAGGAAACAAATCCTTCACTTCTCTATGTCACGCGCCGTCAATGGCAGACATTCAGATTACGGAATGATAGAAAGTGAAGTTTGGACCAACCAAACATCTACAATCTAACAAGATGTTATTCTTTGACTGCCAGGGTCCCATAGCATCTGCTTCTGTTCTCGTTGCTCTTTTTACACATCTCTATTGCTTTCCTTGTGGCTGATTTCCTCTTGTCTTGGTATTGTTCTCTTCATCCCCATATCGATCATCACTTAAGATGCTTTGGAAAGTTCCGAGCGAACGCTGAGCGAGATGGAGTGACAGGAGGAGAAGGAGTGAAGCTGCTGTTTGCTATGGCCTCATCCGAGTCCTGCTAACAACAATCACATGGAGCTGAGCTGATGAAAGGTTCTTTCCTCTGACAAGCCTGAGGACGGAGATGGGTCCGAAGGGAAGAAATGACTGCACAAGGAGCATGACAGGGTCAGAAGGCAGGAGGAAGGAGGGAGGAAGCAGGAGACAGGAGGGAGGAAGAAGATAGCAGGAGGCAGGAGGAGACAAGAGGCAGGACAGGAACGGAGGAGGCGGGAGAGAGAAGGAGGAGGGATGGTGGGAAGAGGACAGGGGAGGGAGGAGGAAGGAGGTAAAGAGAGGGAGGAGGAGGTTACGTGGAGAGGAAGTTCTCCTTCTGCTTGAGGCTCTTTCCTCGTGAGACCGCTAGGGCTCTCTTGAACTTGAGGAGGGCGCGAGTTGTCTCATGCACCTGCGGGAAAGTCATGCTCGTGCTAGCGAGAGGAGGAGGAGACGGGAAAGGAAAAAGCAGGGGTAGGAAGAGAGAGAGGGAGGAGGAGGAGGAGGAGGAGGAGGAGGAGGAGGAGGAGGAGGAGGAGGAGGAGGAGGAGGAGGAGGAGGAGGAGGAGGAGGAGGAGGAGGAGGAGGAGGAGGAGGAGGAGGGAAGGGAGGGTAGGTCGGTAGG